AAAACGTACAATAATAGCGTAAAGAATACGTATTCGAACAAATCATGCTTGCATCTGGACATCTTATTCTTCCCCGAGTGAACGATGGCTGAATAGCTATCTCGTCATATTTTAATTTCATGAGATTGGTATTCGAACACAACTTTTCGTTGTGGAGAAAATCTGTTTCTTGAAAGAAATTAGATAACCGTTTTATTTAAAAAATTATTAATTAAAAAAACGTGGTTGCCGGAGAGATGGTTGCGAAAGCTAGGAAAGAAGCCAAACTAAGCTGGAGGTACTTGATGTCTAAAAGGCGCATCAAAACAAGTAGGAAACAAAATTTTAAAGATAGAAAAAAGGTCTAAAAGTGCTAAGATTTTAAAAGTGGCCAAAAGATTTCGTCAATTTTTTTTTTTGTTTGTGTGTGTGTGTGTGTGTGTGTGTGTGTGTGTGTGGTGTGTGTGTGTGAATGGCAACAATATTATATTTTATTTATGTTTATTCTTTTTGGTATGGAATAGATTTTCTTAACTGCACTGTGCTGCGGTCATTTTTCTGTTAAATAATATTTCATCTTTTTAGAATGCTAATAAAGATTGTCTTCAAAGCTCATTCTTTTTAATTCGAGACGTTCTTTTTAATCCACAATTCAACAGCAAAATTACAAAACGTTTAAAAGCAGTATTGCAGCATTAAGCATTGGTATACATATTTTGCTCATTTCTTCAGTCTTTTTTTTTCCAGTTCATCATATCAACGTTCCATACCATAGCAGCATATGATTAGAATTTCCGATGTAGCGTTAAGCCATTGGCATACATTTTGCTCCTTTCTTCAGTCTTTTTTCAGTTCACCATATCAACGTTCCCTTTTCTTAGTTAGATGTTTTACAAAGGGTTAAATTTATTAATTAAATGTCACGTTCTTTGCACTTACGCCACATAAAATTTAATTCAAGAGCAAAATCACAAAATATTTAAAAACAACACAACTTTATCCGATATACAGCCTCGCACGCTGGAGATAAAAATGTTCCATTCCATGCAATGTCGCCGTCGCTCACTTTCAAATCGTTAAGTTTGTAAACCAAAAATTAATTAAAGTTTTATAAAATATGAAATATAAAATTCAAAATTCAGATTTCCAGGAGTTCATTTTCGGGTGGAAGAATATGTTCTTCAGAATTTGATGATCTTAGGTATCGTCGTTTTTTCAAAATGCGAGAAATTTTACACACATGCAAATTCTTCATTATTTAATTTCTTTAAAAAAATAGTAGCCTATAATATTTGATGGCAACAATGTGAAAAGTGATACAACCCTTTATAGTGAAAGACGCAAAATCCCGAAACTAATATTCGATACTAATTTAAATTTAATAAATTGTAAGATTCCAAAATTTGAATGTACGGCAATGTGTCTGGAACGTTGAGAACTGATAAGAGAATAATCGCTTAGATCAGAGAGATAGAAACATAAACGTATGAAAAGTTAATTACGCTTTATTATTCAAAATAAATTTAACAGACGACTTCTTCTTGGAGTTACAATGAAGCCTCCACTTGGGCTTGAACTCAGGAATAATAAACAATAAAACTTAACTAAAAAGATATAGCCGAAGCTATCAAGATTCCAACAGAGCTGGCCCCTTAACGCTAACTAACGGCGAAGCTATCAAGGGCCTAAAGTACGGCCGATCTAAAAGTAGCTTTAGAGAGAGTATAGCCAAAAGGCTAACACGCGCTGCATAGAATCTCAAGCTCTCTAACGAAATCAGTAGAATTTCACAGTTAAATACTTCTCCTCATTTGCATTCAAACGCGATTCTGAAAATACGTTCTGGCCGAAAGTTGTAAGCTGAAATTAAGGCAAGATAGGAAAGTAACTTTAACTCAATTAACTGTTAGAAAATTAAGATAAACCTTACAAAACAATAACTAACAATTTCCCGAGACTATTTTAACATTTAGAAACTAATAACCCACTCGGGGTTATACCCTTTTGGGCAGACCAGCAAACAAATAAACCAAACAAAAAAGCTCGCCAAGGGCTTTAATGCAAATGTACCCAGAATTGTTAAAAAGTTACTATTTTTAACGTTGTTGATAGAAAGTTTTTTGCTCTTGCGCTTTATTTTAATTTGCTTATAATAGAATAGTAAGTAATTCCCTTTTACTCTTTTGTTCTTTTAATGATCATCTTTTGATAATTTTAACAGATACAGTTCAATTTATTATAATTAAAAAATAAGCGTAAAGTCCTAGAAAGCTAAATCACAGTTTCTATGAATGAATATTTACGTATCATTGTAAATAAAAGAAACTTTGCGCATATATTAGGAATCATCATACTGATTTTAAAATTGCATTAACATAAAGGAACACTTTGAAGATGAGCATTTTAAAAATATCACTCAAAACTCTCAACACAATCATATTGGGGAAAAGAGTGCTAAAATGATAAAATATTATTCTGTATCAAGATTATGCCCCTTTTAAGTTAGCCGCAGTAGTTTATGAAAATTGTTAAAAAATGTTACGTTTATACCTATTGCAAGTCAATTTTCGATACCTTTTAGGTACTAAGCCATTCCATATTCAAAATGACCTCTTTATTCATAATAATTCATAATAATTCAAAGTGTTTCTTTATGTGATGCTGGAAAGTCAGGTGAAATGTAATATTTAATCCTTCTTCTAAATTCCTTTTAAAATTCTAGTTGGGTATGACCTAGTTGTGAACAATAGTATAAGAAATCATGTCGCAAAAATAGCGAGTTAACAACCGTATTCTACTTCGCAAAAAATTGATGAGAAAGTCTTCCCCCCCTATTTTGATTTATATGTCTACTAAATAATTGTCCTCAAAGTTGTATTAGCTCTTAAACTAATGCTTGCTATATTATTAATGAATATTTATATTATTTATTTAGGCCTGTTATACAGATAAGGATAAGAATATGAGCAGGACCTAAATAAAACAAAATAAGACGTGAGATAATTACAAATTCACATGATAAGGATTTATCGCATTCGCCCCAAGCGCAGTTTCTTAGAGTAAGTGGTTAGCCTGTCTAGATAACATTGGAATATCCGAGGGTCGAACCTCTGCGAGGCACAGTGCACTTTTCGTATTTTATGACTTCAAAAATCTTAACGTCTTTATAACATTTAGATTTAAAGGAACAATATATTATCACGATATGTGATGAAGTTCTTTTTTCCGTGTGCTAAGAAAAACTAAATGCACGAGAATATTTTTAGGAAAGAACTTTTTTGATGGATATGCTAGCTATTCATGCCAAGTCATTATGATCGTTAAATAGGAAATTTCCTTGCCGTTTGCATTTTACAAGTTTAAATGCACGAGAAGAGATGTTGAGATTCAGCTACGCTTCATTTATAATTGTGCTATTCGATTCTTTATGGAATAGGAATGAAAGTTAACTTTAGTTGACTTCCATTGTTTTCCATAAAGAGAAAACAATTATGATTTTTAAGCAAACATAATTGCTTAACAACATTTGTTAAGGGGCATCAGCAACCCCTATACCGAGAATGTTAAATTTATAAGGTATTTCTCCCACTTCCCTAGCGTGCCTTCATGGTATAACGGTAGCACGCTGGACCGGTATTCGAGAGGTCCGTGGTCCGATTCCCGGCGAAGGCGGTTGCTATTTTTCATCTCTCTTGCTTTCAAAAAAAAAAAAAAAAAAAAAAAAAAAATCCTAATGTCTCTACAGTGGCGCCCGAACTATAAGGGTTGTGGATGATGATTCTCCACACCCAGGATTTGGCGACTAGGTCCCCTAAAAACCTAGTCGCCCTTTAAAAAGGGGAGTATATAAGGTATTTCTCCCACTTCTCTAGCGTGCCTTCGTGGTGTAACGGTAGCACGCTGGGCCGGTATTCCAGAGGTCAGTGGTTCGATTCCCGGCGAAGGCGGTTGCTATTTTTAATCTCGCTTGCTTTAAAAAAAAATCCTAATGTCTCTACAAATTGGCCATTTTCGATGTACCTTTTCTCAAAATCTGCTGTAGACACACGCTTGAAATTTTTTGTGTAATTAAAGTATACCTATCTGATTATATTGAAATGAGCTATTGAAACATTTTGAATTTTAGAGTAAATTACAGAATATTTTGTTAGGCATAGTAAAATTTAGCACTTTTCTCACACAAAAAATGTAAAAAATTTGTTTTTTTAGTTTATCACAAAAAGCTCATTTCAGTAAATATTAGAAAACCTAATAAATACTCTATAAAAATGTTAGATACCTGTCAGCAGTAGTTCCTGAGAAAAGGTATAGGGAGTGTAAAAAAAATCCCGTTTGGAGAAAAACGCGTTTTTATGTAAAAATCCTCATTTATCAAAGCATTCGATGACAAATTAAAACTAGATTTCTTACGGTTCTAATTTTCATACAGATTAAAGAATGGTATTTTTACAAAGATAAAAGTGTAGAGAATTTGAAAATGCAAAAATCCGAAAAAAACATTTTTTGAAGACATTTTGGGTTCCAACACCTCTTAAACAAAGAAATGAATGTTTTCCTAACATTCATTTTTTTTTCTATACAAATGTCCGAACTTCTCACTTGAAACGCTTTGCATATGGGTAACAGCAGGCTACAGCCAACGGACGTAATTTTGATAAGCTTGGTTTATCTTTATGCACGTGCTTTCCTGTGATGATAATATTTACTTATTGTTAGTGTGTTTTGTGATGTGAAATAGAAGCTCTTCTGATCATGACAGGTAAATGTGTTATTTAATAATACGATACACGATTGAGAAACAGAATGTGGTATAAGTGTGTGTTTCTGATTTTTGAAACTGCAACCTATAATCATCAGATAAAAAGTAGAATAACACTGATTATAAATGGACTGCCGTAATGCATCAATAAAGTTATTTCAAAGTATATTTCGCAACAGTAGAATTAGAAATAATTCTTCCTTGGAATTTGCAATATATTTGCTAATATTTCATACTATATCATGTGCTCTGAGCAAGACTGGTTTCAGATACTGATAAAAGGAAAGGTACTTGAAATATTTTCCTCCTACCATTTAAATTATTATGGAAGTGTTTTAGTTTTAAAATAAAGTTATGTATGCCGTTTATGAAAGCTATCTGTGAAACATTTCCATACTAGTCCTCTGTTTGGTATATTTTATTTAAAATTATGCATTAATTCAATATGATGAGAAACCTAAAATTTATCTAATAAATGTTAAAATATTTTAAGAAATAAATACATAGTTAACTCTTACAATATTACTTAGATTTGAAGTAAGTAGTTTAAGCAGCTTAAATTTAACTACAATTTATATCAAGTCACGCATAGAACTGTGTACTCGGAAATTCTTGTCTGATAAGACCCAATGTTTATTAACTATCTGTCGAAAGATAAAGGCGCTAAAATAATTGCCTTATCTTTTTTAATGAGTCTCGTATACATTGGGCTAACCTCAATTCATAATCACGGGTTGGTAGACAATAACTGCTAACAATGCGTTGCAAAATAAAACTTATTTTCAGTATGAGGCAACTGAAAATATTTAAAAATGTCTTCTCATTGGCGAGAAATCTTTTAGTATTTTATGATAATAATAATGATATTCTAATTTGAAATCCTACTTAAATGCTTCAATTTAAATTAGAACATAATTAAAATAATATTCATTCCAATATTTCCGTTTTAATTTTGTTTATAATTTTTACATGTAGATCGAAAACCGGAGCAAAATAGTTAAAGGTGTAGTAGTTGTTATAGCAAAGCTGTCTATACCCGCTTTTATATCCTTAGGGTTTTAACGACAGAGAGATTCAAACTCATCAGGCAATTATTACGAATTTTTCGAGCTGGTGATAGAAAGATGGGAGCTCATAATGGCGCGGAAGCAAAGATTACAACAGTTCGTGTTGTGAAGGACTGTCTGATTTTTGCCGGTACCTTGGCAAATTCTTTGGCAACAATTTTTTGTAACTTTCTGGGGTCAGTATTTTCAATTTTTTCGTACCTATTATGAATCGTGGAGAAGGAGAGATATCAACTTCGCAGTTTTTTTTAATTAGAACGAAAACGTTTCATTAATTTGAACAGTAAGAATTAACGGGTTTTCCACTTGTTCCTGAGGAGTACTAAATTAAATTTTGGATAAATTAAATTAAATTTTAAGTATTTGCCAGAGTTTGAACTATTATGTTTTAATCTAAAAACTTTAAAAAGAGTGCACATGATATGAGATTCGTAATTAAAATTTTTTTCCTAATTTAACTTTTTTTGCGAGAGATTTTAATTGAGCAAACTATATCGACAAACTACATTTATCGGATCTCACACTATTTTAACTAGTACGGTTCATTTTCCCCGCTTTCATCATTTGAAGACTAAAAACGTTTCGAACTTATTATCATGCTTTTTAGTTTTTATAATTTAAATCCTCGCTTTTCGAATGTATGTTTATTTGTTTATTTGAATCTGTAAAGCCCACAAGGTCTACCTGCCTACGAGAGACAATACCTTCGATATACATCTGAGATACATTGACGCATATTTACGTTACATACGGGAAAATAATTATTTTTGATTTTATTTGCTTATGCAAAGGATGCTAAGACTATCTGCTTGAGGAGAAGGATACCTTCGTGGGGGAATTTCTGTTGTCCGAACTAATTCAGTCTGAGCAATTTCAAATAACAGTTGTGTTTGAATGATCCGTAGCAGGGGGGAATGATCCGTAGCATAACCAAGAAACCTACGACGCCGATAACACAAGCAATACAAAAATAGGTCTATTTGAGAACAAAGGCTCTCTCCTTAAGGAAAGAGATGCCTTCCTGAAGAAATTTCTAAGATCACAGATTCTTGTTTCATGGACGAAGGATAGAAAGTCTGCATGCCAAAATTGTAGGTGCACCACGAGGAGGTAGATCTACGTCGCCCCAGTCGCCTTGGTTCTCTATGAAAAGCTACTGTGGATGGAAGATCTCTACTGGAGGAACTACGTAATTAAGCTTAGGAAATTAAAAACCCAATATGGATTTATTCAAAAAGTCCTGGACACGAAGAAAGATCTTAAGATCCCAGGTAATATATAATCTCTCTTGACAATCAGAAGTCCTTTGGAGGTGATTAATGCCAAAGTACGGCTACACCTAGTGGAAACCATCCATAGAAGGACAGATGTTGCAGCAAGCGTTTTGAAATGTCTAACTTTGAAGAGCATTGCGGCTAGATATCCACCTACTCAGTGGCTGCATATTTTTACTGATGATTCTCAGTTTAACTGTCATTTCAAGGCTTGGGCCTGTCTGTTATTGAATCTTTTTCCTTTCTACGGCCCTGCAGGATACGTTGGTACCTCCTTTGATGGTGAAGTAGTATCCATCTGTATAGACCTAAGGCAATTATTAGCTATTCATTACCAAGTTTGCAAAGGTAGTCATTTTCTCTAAACCTTAAGCATCTATTCAATCATAGCTCTGTTGAACACGCATTAACACCTGAAATTTTGCAGTGTCTAGAATTCTTGAGAACTCTCACTTTAAAAGGGAAGCACATCGTTCTCCAGTGGGTGCCTAGCCATTGTGGCCTTTGGGACAATGAGAAAACAGACTTGCAAAAAGAGATGCCAGCTTACTACAACATCCTAATGCAGCCATTTCTTATTGGAGGATTTGACTGTTTTTACAAAGTTTATATACGTCTTGTATCTTAAGAGATCATCAGATTCGTACAGCCTTAAAAAGTTGGAGAATCATAAGTCCTTCTCTTATTCCCGGTATAGTCCAAGACGCAATGCAGTTACGGGTTTTCGTTTGTCTACAGGACATGATTGCCTTGCCGCCCGCCTACACCGCATAGCCATTTCAAGCGATCCTATTTACCCACTTTTTTGTGATCCTGGCGAAGAAATGGACAAGCGACCACCTGCTTTGATGTAGGGCTCTTCGTGGTCTTACAAAGGAGTCGAGATACTGGGAGTCAAGAGCGTTCTTTAGACAGTGACCTCGGTCTTTTTGTTCTTAGTTCTATGGCTTGTAACCTCTGTTTGTAAGATTTTAGTTCTTTGTAACTTTTTGCCTAGCCATTGGAAAAAAAAAGATTCTTATTTACATTACGCATGAAACAAGATGAAAACTTCATTCCGTTATTCAGGTCATCATGCGCTTTTGTAGAGAATTCTCTTCGTAATACATTATTAACGATTAAAACTTTTTCATTCATTAGAATGAAAAACTATTCAGAGTTACGGCAACATTATTTTCAACTGATTTTCTATGAATCGATTTTTTTTTTCATTTGGCATTTTAAAAAGTAAAAAAAACAATATGTAAGCATTTTATAGCTTCGTCAATGAGAAACAGATTTTATTCTGTTATGTCTCCTTTCTATTACTTGATTGACATTTTGAAAGAAAGAGGTTTTAGATGTATTATATTCTAAAAGGGCCATTATAAGCTTACAGAATGTTGTAACCTTGCATCAAGAGAATAAAAGGACAGCAAGTGATTCAATAACGAAACAAGGTACAATAATTATAAATAATATTCAGATTAAAACTATTATATAAATTATGAATGAATATTAACAAAATATTTGAAATTCGCAATAAAACATTTATCACTCTCATAAAATCTTTTACATCTGTTTTGAGTTAGTTAACGACTGAAGTATTACTATTAGTAAAAAATGAAAATTATTTAAAATTTTATTATGATTCGAAAATCGATAATTATTCCATATTCAAAAGAATTTTTAAAGATTTTTCTTAATTTTTTCTATGAATTATTAAATATAGTTAGATGGAATACATCTGAAAGGTTAATATTTATTTAATAACGATATAGTTCTATTAGTTCAAAAACAATATAAACGATCTTTGAAAGTTACTTTTACTTACTTGTACATCAGATGTCAAACTTCTTTGAAATGCCACCTAGACAGTGTTGGTTAGTGACCCTATTTGCCCATGTTCGAATCGTGGAGAAGGCCTGGTTGTAACTGTCAGTCCCCCCTTTCATAGAAGTCAACAGTGGTCCACCTGTTATGTGCTTCCATAATGAAATTATGGAACGGCCCTGGCAATGGCGAAAGGCAAATGGCTATTAAATAAAGGGTCCCGGCCATTAAAAAACACTCCTGATGCTCAAGATCTGAAACAAGAATGTCAAATTACATCTTAGTGCAAGTTTTCAAATATTTTTTATTAAATATGTATATAATGTACAGAAAACTGACATGCAAAGAAAGAATATATTAAAAATATGATTTTCACATTAATATGAAAGCGTTTGCCCGCAGTTTTTTGATAAAATTAACCGAATGTAAAAAAATAAGAACAAACATTCTGCAGCATATGGATACAATTTAACCGAACAGAAACATATGAATGCTTTTTAACAAAAAGTTTGGGATGGGAAAGCCATTTACAGTGAGTAATACTAATTAATAGTAACTGTAATTAGCAGTCAGCAATTTTTTCACAAAAGTTAATTTATAAACTGTTTATAATATTTCTGGAAATTATTCAACCTATGTTGCATTCCTAATCTTAATACTCATAGGGCATTCCTCGTCTCGGCAATTTTAGAAAATTTCCATCATGGTCTGTGTTTTATGAAAAGCGGTTCTAAAATATGTTTAGAAAAGGCAAGAAGGTTAGTCTTCTTTGCTTGTTATAAAAACGTATGATCCTTATTATAAAAGATATCTCAATGTTCTTTCATCGCTGTACTAATCATTTTATAATATGATTCAGTTGCACCTATGATATTTCTCGCAAATGTAAAATTGCAGTATCCTTAACAGAGAACCTCACGTTACTCGCTATGTAGTTTCAACAAAAACGATTCCCGTATTTTCTTTTGCAAGCGCACAGAAATTTAGCAGTTGGGTAACAATAACCGCGAGCAGCGGAGCTTAAAGCAAATAACGTTTTACTAACTGAAATTTGAGAAGAAATGTTTGGACAGAAACAGACTGCTGAATCATTCTATTTCAAAAGCGAAGATATATTTGAAAACAGGTATAAAAGTGTCTACTATAGCAAGTAAAGCTCTGCAACGTGTGAAAATGTACTCAGTATTTCATCTGAACGAAGAAAGTTTTAACGCATATGCTAGCACTGATAAACAATGACTAGTATCTTCCTTAAATTTAAGTCACAGATAAGTCAAAGTTGAATTAAGATCCCTTCTTAATTTACCGATATCCCCGACTTAGTAACAATTTTTGTTTGTTCCTTGGTAACGCTAAACTGGAGTTTAACAGTAAATCTGACGTTAGCAATGTCAAATGATTTATTACGAAAATAAATGATTTCAGCACATTTGTATACAAAAAATTAGTGAACGGTGATATCAGTGCTCAATGATTTCAGGTATCTATTAATAATTAAAAAACATTCTGTATCTCACAAGTGCAATTTCCGTTACGTCAGAAAATTTGACAACACCGTACTATTAGTTTGTATAATGTGTTTTTTCCATCGTTGTTTGCCCATCAGTGACTGAACCTCTGAACACTGGTAATTCGTCTCAGGTTACCGCTGAACTCTAATAAGACCGCTGAACACTGATAATTCGTCTCAGGTTCGAATTCCGGGTAACTGGCTACTACACGAGGCCAAGTTATCCCATATATATAAAGGCGACGTTTTGAGGGAAACTGGTTCGATAATGTGAATAAGAACAAATTTCTCTTGAAAACGAAAGAAGGTTTCCTTCTTCTCTAGGAATTACCTCTCGTACACTTTGCATTTATTATTTAACCACTTTCATTTATTGGATATTGGTTAGTGATTGAAATCTGATTAGAAATGTAAAAAGAAAAGTTTAAAAAAATTATTTTTATTCATTTATTTATTTATTTGTTATTACTGATACACGCTATATTCATAAGGTAATATAAGTAAAGTTCTGAAAAAAAAAGCATTATAAATTTCTTTTATCTCCATTGATTTATCAATAATGCTGTTATTGAATATGATGCACATAGAAATTGACGTTACAGTTAAAGGCCGAAGCAGAATTCAAGTAAAAATTCTAAATAGGATCGTTCATTATTTTAAATACTAAATGTAAAATATATTGATTTATAGGGTATAAACTCCCGATAATACAGATTTTTTGCTTAACAATGATTAGAGGTATCTATTTTTAAATATTGAAAATAATAATTACTATGAAAAGTTTGTGGCAACAAGCGACTGTATGCGCATGTGCATATGCACCCTCAGTGTTCTAGCGAATATGAAGTATAAAAGTGCTGGAATGTGATGCTAAGTGCAACTGGCGAAAGCGGGTAGCTGTGGACTGTGTGTAAATATCCATATACATCTTCACGTGTTATTTTATTTGAAAGTGTTATTTTAGCTAAGTGTAAACTGTAAAGCATCAAATAATAATAAACGTACAGATATTTCGTTTTTCTTACATGCACATTCCACTAGGATAGGAAGATTCAAACAGTTATGTGCTTATTCATCGAATGTGTTCCCCCGAATTTTACTAAATCTCATGCTTTCAAACAGCGAAATTCAAATCAGTGGAGTCTAACAAACCCTTTCTGCCGCTAGATGGCGCGACGTGTCTATTTTAAATTCTAAAATACTTAAAATAAATGCCAGCGCCTGCAGCTCAAGTATGAACTTCAAAACCAATAATATGCTATGAGCCCTCCTACCAAAGAATGTCTAAGGATATCTCCTTAATGATTCTTTGCCCCTACTGTACATCAAGATCAAAGTCAGCGATCATGCCAAGCGCAGAACTGGCATTATGATTTGAAGTTTGTATTTTGTTTAATTTCAATAAATGTTAATTCGAGTTTAGATGATCTATTTTATTAAAAAGAGCCATGTCACCTTCCTGGTCTAGCCACATTTCACTACGAATTATCCGGAAACAGTATCACCTAACATGATTCTGCAGTAATTAATTAGGAGAAACATAATATTATCATCATATTATATCAATAATTTAGCTTATTAAAAAAAGACATCTTCTTACAGTTGTCACTTTGAAAAGAAAGTGACAAGCAGACAATTGGCTGCTGTAAACTTACCATGGGTACAAAGAATATACCTGTTTAATCTTCAGTTTACTGTTGAGTCGGCTGTTACACAACATCATTAAAAAATACAATAACAGATTCGTAATTCACTATGCTTCCATACCTTCAGAAACATAAATAAAATATAGAGTTTTCTCAAATATACTTACTGACAGGTTCTGAGAAAGTAAAACATGTGGATATCGAAAACTACCCACTCAGGATGAAAGAATGTAAATAAAAGGCTTTAACAAACAGTTGACGAAAGTTCAGTTGTTGACACACTCTTAAAGAGTAGGTCAACAATTAAACGTTTTTCAAGGTTATTTAACAAAGGAAAAGAATAATAATGTAATGGAAAAGTAATAGCGTATACACTGAGAAATAATTACTCATTCTCTTTCAAGCATTCTTTTCGTGCAACCATTTCAACAGTAAAAATATTTCCAATTATATCTTGCAGACGATCGTTTTTCCTCAAGAAGTATGGACAGTGATTCAGGAGGCTATGCTTCACCGGAGGAAGAGGATGACATTTCGCCGATTTCTGATTTCTACAAAGATAGAAGTGTCTTCATAACAGGCGTGACGGGATTTGTAGGAAAGGTAAATTTTTTTCATATTATTCTCAGTCAGTGAAATATTGCCAGAGCGAATGGAAACAATATGTTCTAGCAGTATGATTCAAGATATATATTATATTCAGGTGGAAGGAGTGATACAAATGTTAATGACTCTGCAGCTACTGAAGTACTCAAATAAGACAACTGTGCAGTTATCCCCCCCCTCACTTCGGTAGGTTACTTTTAGAGGATTTAAACTGGTACATATTTATTTTGCTTTGATCTTTTACTAGTGGCGTGAAATAATGGCGAAATATATTAGTACTTCTGCAAAGAGGTCATCCTACTGCTTAGCAGAGTGGTGACGTGAAAAAGGAAGCAGATTTTTTACACAAAGAAAGCATATATCTACCAAAAAGTTATTTTTAACCTACTTCATCAATAAGACAATAAGCCAACATCAATTTCTTTAAGTTAGAATAAAACATTTAGGTCGTACGACCTCCAAATAGAAATGTTTTAGTCGTTCCACATATTAAATCTATTCATTATTAATGTCATAAATTTTTCATTGGTAATATTAAAATAACAACCACATTTCTCGGTTAATTTAAAATTACTACATATTTATTACTACATACATTCCCCATGCAGAGAATTTCTTAGAAGATACAAGTAAAGTTCCAATGAAACACTACAAGTTAAAAGTTATAAATGAACTTCAAATACATAATCAAAAAAGAGGTACTGTTGATTTAATTTGCTCAGTATCCAAAAAGTGGTCACTATAGATTTCACTTTCTTAAATATTGATCTCAGGTATATTTGTAAGCACATATTTTGTTTGCTTAAATATTGATCATAGACATAAACTTTCCCTTTACTTACCAGTTTCTTAATGTTCGCAATGGTCGAGAAGGTATACCAGCTAGATGAACACTAATAGTTCGACCCAGTTTCGAATCCCAGCGAATGGGCTGGCTGCGGCGGCGTTTTCGTGGTTTTCCCGTATAACATTTCCTTAATATAAGACGATTTCTCTTAAAATCCCCTCCACACACATGCGAGATGATTTTCTTTAAAAAGTCCTGCATGAAAGCGTCCTTCCTTTTGTGTTTTGCCATAATCAACAAAACGAATAATAATGATAATAATAATAAATTCTGTGAGAACAGTTTCAACATTGTTGGTGGAACAATATTGAAAACACAAAAATTATCTTGTCGAGCACAAATGGGAATTGATAAAATACTTATATGCTTTATTGTGTTAAATATTAAAAGTGTTAAAGCTTTATTGCAGTATAAATCGTCCGATTTAGATTGTTTGTCAACGTCAGTTTTTATAGGTGTTTTCGTTCCCATGTATAACATAAATAGGAACAAAGTTTCGCTTAGAAATTCCTCCACGAAAGCTCACTTAGGCAGATAGCGCTTATATTCTTTGTTGTGTTGAGCTAATCAATTAAAAAAGACTACTTCCAAGCAAAATTAAATACTCCCTGATATATGCCCTCAAAGGTTTCTTTAATCTCAAGCAGCAACTACCATAAATGGCCATTAACAAAATTCATTCACTTAAATGAGGCTTTTGAATTTGGTTTCATTCATTTAAAACATCTAGTAGTCATTCATCGTGAAGCATCATCAGTTGGTATTGTTGCATGCGTACGGGTTCGCAATAAATTAAATGCACAAGTCCGATGAAAAGTTAATAAAATTTATTATTATCACAACAAATAAAACAAAACACTTAAATTTCCTTAAAGATATTCGTACAATATCGCAATTTCTCACAGTAGTTATCTTTTAAACTACTAAAACGTTCAACAAATTTTAATTCAAAACAGAGAAACGTACAGAAAGCTAATCCGATCTCGCCGCGAATTCGCTACAGTAAACAACAACAGTTTTTCTAAACAACTGAATTGAGATGTTTTCCTCCAGCTTTTATAAGCTTTTTAAATGCGCGAGAAAATTCTCGTATTTTCTCGATTTTTCTGGATAGCAAGAGTACAATTACGAGATATCTATTTAATAAAAATATTAAATGCGCGTGCTCCTGTATTTTAATTTTTTCCGGCGTAGCTTTCTCTTCAAATAAGTCTCGTGCTGCATTGCACTTGAATGTAAAATAATTTTAATTACAAATTCTACTAAAAATAGCTAAATAAGGCAAAGTCTGTAACAGTATTATTACTATTAGTTATTACTTAGTAGCAGGCACCAAAATATTGTTAACTTCTCATATCTCGCTAAATTTTGCACGCTAAAAAAGTACGAAACGTACTTCCTTTTAATTCAATAGCATATCTAACATTTGACTCTCTGAACTTCTTGCTGTATAGGTATCATAAAAAAAATTAACATTGTGTTTCCAAAATTTTTATTTCCAAAGCTGAAATACTTAACCCTTATTTAATTAAATATTAAATAAATTTATTAATTAAAATTTAAATTATTTAATTAAAATTATTTAATTAAATTTATTATTAATACCTTATTTAATTAAAATTTAAAATTTTCATCTGGGAATTTTTTCATTTTAAGAATGTCTTAGAATAAAGGAAATAATTAAAGAAATAAGTAATTAAACAAATAACTAAAGGACGACTTTAACGAAAAAGTCGCAGCCACATTTTCCAAACATCCTTTTTACAATAACATTATTGTTGGGAATATTACATCTTTTCGAATCAAAATATATGAATTCTTTAATTATAAAAAATGGTTTAATATATTTCAGACGAGTGGTAATACTTCTTCAGGTATAAACTTCAACATGTGTAATTAATAGTTGAAAAAAATTACTATTATTTGCAGTTTGCGAAGAAAATCCATTCCAGGAAAAACTAATTGACAAATCATTTGCTTGGATAGTTGACAATAAATTATTTTTAAGATTTACCCTCCTAACTACAACGGTAACGTTGTGTGTTAGTGAAATAAAATGAGCCTTTTCAAACATTTATTGTAAGATAAGATATTTTTCGGGATAGGGAAAACAATGACATAAGTGAAATAATTGTTAAATAGTGTCTAGCTTTATCTAAATATCTTACTCAGCATTTAATAGTGCCTAGGTTTATCTAAATATCTTCCTCAGCATTAAATAGCCGAATCAAACAGTCAGTTCAAATTTTCTCAGGCAGCAAAAACTGAAAATCTAAACCGAAGAGAGTATTTTATACTCCAAATATCCGAAAATTGTTTTTCTGCCTAGTTAATTACTTGCAGTAACGTAGTATCAGGATATTGATTTTTCAGTATTTTTGTGCTATTGCATGACAAAATGTAATCAGCGCTCGTGTGTTTTCATAACCAGTTTCGATGAGATTATCTAACATGTTCCCATTTGAACAGATCGTGTTCCGCTAAATATTAATTTCATTTAGATCAGGGATTTCAAGTCCCATTTCTTGCACCGACTCGTTTTAGTAGAATTAGTTTATTCATCAAACCCCTTACAATTTTCTGTACAATATACAGCATACAATATAATCATAATACAAATAATTGTGCACAAATAACTTAGGGACGTTAATTAGACTAAGAATATGAAAATAAGTCTTGAAAAAATGGTTTATTAGATTTATGATTTGTTACTTTTATCATTATTAGTCTAAAAGGGCTTCGTTCCTGAGGGACTATTTTCGTTTTGCGATTTTGCGTCAAATGACTCTGAAAGTCTGTTTCACTTTTCAAACTGTTGCCACCAAATATTATCGCTCTGTATTATATTTGAAGAAATTAAATAATGAATAATCTTCATAAATGTATGTATGTTTTTCGCATTGTGATAAAACACCGGTACCTAGAGCTATCCAATTTTGGATGACATAATCCTACTGCGAATATGGGCCTTTGGAAGCCCAAATTTGAAATTTGGAATTTGTTTTATTATCGATTTCATATTTTGTAAAACTTTAACAAATTTTTGATTAACAAACTCAAGAATTTCAAAGCGAGCAATGGCAACGTTGTACAGAAAAAAATATTTTTATCTCCAACGCGTGAGACTCTGTATCGGAAATTCTAAAGATATGCTCAATTTAAAAAATTATTTTGGGATATTGCTGTTAAACTGAATTTTATGGTTTAAGTGCGAATAACATTATATTTAATAAATAAAGGTAATACATAAAATATTAAAAAAAACGCCCCTTGGACGTAATTTAAAATTTGAAACTTTTCAGATTTTCTTTTTTGATGTATCTTCGGCTATACACTTCCAGTCGAAGCTTTGATCATCATTCATCCCCTTTAAAACTTTGCTGAACGCCCAGGAATTCAATATTGAACCCGCTAGGAACCCCTTATTTAGACTGTTAAATTTAATCAGAATCATTTTAGCCTAATTAAATTTAACAGAATTAGACTGTTAAATTTAATCAGGAAATGCAGAACATAAGGCCATCAAATTTTTTAGAACATAGTTAAGTATAGTTTCATTCGACTTATACTTTTGACAATGCAATTAAATGAATAGATTTCGTATTTTGGCGCCCTCGCTTATATTATTCATGATATAAAATGGTTGATAAACTTTATAACGAAAATGATTATTTAAATTATTTTTCTTATTCAGCTATAAGACAAATTATTATTCACCTTTTAATTAATACAAGCTTATTTTTTAAAAACCTTTTTTAAATATATTTTATTTTTATTTTTTTGCTCTCACTGACAAGCTAGCAATCAAATTACTCAATTGAAAAACTGCTTTTCAACAATGATTAATCACGTTTTTCCTTCCAACAGTTTTGTTTCGAGAAATAGTGTTACACTGACTTCGCCAAAAATTCAGATATTACGTCGAAAGTCTCATAAGAACTTCATTTAAAAGAAAAATTTTCACTCTATCCGATGATGCGAACAATAAAATTATGAGAATTTTGTTTTGTTCATTAACAAAAGATATGACGAAAAATAATTTCAACTTAAAATTTTAAAACATCTGAATCAAATTTTGAGAACATCGCTTCATCACATAGTTTTGTCATCCACAGTGACTGTGTATGCAAAGGGTAAGCTCCATAGTATGTCGGAAATGCTTTAAAAGTCGATGCTTAAGTTTTGACCATACTGATACACATCTTGCGAGAGTTAAATAAAAACTTACAAAATTGCAGCTAACTCGGTGGTTCTTAACTTTTTTTTGCCCCATGTACCTCTTTCACCATTAGCAGAAGGTCATTCCCCTCTCCTTTCCCAAACTTGAAAAATACATACAAGTATATACATTTATTTAGATTTATATTATTTTCTAACATGTTTCATGAATTAAACAATAAAAAGTATAGAAAATTTTGGTAAATACTAAAAGCTGAATAAAAGTAGTTTTTTTAAAATATTCATAAATTAAAACTAAATACTTAAAAGCTAAATAAAAGCTAAACGCATTTGCCCTCCTGAAGCTATGAAATTCTCTCCCCCCCCTCCGGGCTTGAGAACTCCTGAGCTAGCTTTAAAAAAATAGTAGAAAAAGGTGTAATTAATATTGTTTTACTACTCTTATTTTAAAATAAAGCGAAGTGTGTTTATTTTATATTTTGCGAAAATTTCAAAATTTCTGATACAATTTTATAAAATGTATATATATATATATATATCCAATGATTTGAAAATTTACAATTTTCATACAAGCTTTATTTAAAAGATTTTTCTACTCTATTAAATGGTTCAAATAGTAAAATCCTAATGCTTTTAATTTCTTTTTTGTTAAACAATAATATGTGCTAAAAATCGCTCAAAAATTAAATAAAAGAAATGTAACTCGAATTTTGAAAACATCGCTTCACAGTATTGTATTATCACAGACATTGTAAGAAATTCTTTTCAGCAAACGTAATGCAGCCAACATAAGGTCGTTAAATAATATTTTTCGATACACACTAAGTGAAAAGCTAAAATACAGAAATCAGTTTTTGAATTTAGATATGTCTTTCATTGAGTTTTACCAAAACTTTTGAACGGTTACTTTACAATATGCTGTCATAAATTTATTATCCTCTTGGCCTGGTTAAGTGCATGAAACACCAGATCTCTGATTTTCCCATGTCAGGGCAAACTGCCAGTTTTCGCAGTTTTGCTATTCAGCGTGACAAAGATCTTTAATTTATCCTGCAAATTATAATTAATGATCGAATTGACCGATTTTGAAATAATAACTTCTCAGTTTAAAGCTTTATTTTTTATGATGTGACTCATTTCCAATGCATAATTATTGTGTTTAGCATTTTTAAACCACCAGTAAAACGATATTTTTAATGATTCATTTTAAATTTTAACAAATATAAAATTAATTACTCCTTAGTAGTCAAAACATTTGCTGAGAAGATGCAACTTTAAATTGTATGAGCTTTACTACGGTTCTTTTATGCAATGAATGAGAAGAGCAGAATTTTTTCTCTTTAATGTCTAAAGTAAGATAGACTCGAATAAGTTCGAAAGGAGTTAGTACCCCCCCCCCCGCAAGAAAAAAATTATTAACAGTGTTAACAGTTTTAACAGTGTTCCTTTGATAGCAATAAGGCAATCTTTTAATAATGCCAACAAATGACCACGAGATTTCTAATATAATATATATTAACTAAACAGCGTCATACGTCATCTTTATGTGTTTAAGACTATTTTAATTTATTTTAACCATAATTTTATTTCTAATTTTTTAAAGTAAATGATTTCATCAAATAAATTAAATCAATAACAAATTTGTAGGGAGTGTTGGTAGACTACCTGAAAATATAGCAATACTGCAGTACGAAATTAAAATGCAGAAACGAAACTGTTGATTAAATTTTTTTTAATAATTTCGTGTAACTTGACCAAGGGAAATTAAAAACTTCAATATGCGATCAAAAGTCAGAGTTCATGTGATGCTTACGAGAACTGTACATAATGAGATAGGACCTAAAAATCGGTACAAGAGTGAGGCAATTATCTGAAAACTAATCTACGTTTCAAGTTAATTAGAACAATATTCGTACTCGATTATTTTCTATATTTTTCGAAGGAGATTATTATGCAGTGTCTATTTCTGAACTTGTGCATTATGTCATTTTTATATTTTTTAGTCCTAATGCCGATTTTAAACTTTCAAGATCACCTTATTTTAGTTTAAAATGTTGCATCATCAGTTTATAACTGCTTTTTTTAAATTGTGACATTTAATCTATCATAAAATGTTTTCCTCAGATAAACGTTTTGGGTGAGCGTATATATCAACTGCTAACCCAGGATCTTAGAGTATACATATTAATTAATAAAACACTGAGAAAAGGATTTTGAGGCTATTTATTGTTCTAGAAACAAGATTTTCCATTTCCTTCTTTTTAGATTGTTTTCGAAAATAATAACGAAGATATTCATTTTTAATTAAGACTTTAAAAACCTTAAGAAGCTGGGAATAAATACATTAAAGTACTCTTTCCTAGAAACCTCAATAAGCTTTATAACTATGCTATTTCTATAACCTATTAATAATCTTTGTTAAAAAAACTTTTTAACAGATAATTATTAAACTCTGGAACAGAGGAAGAATGCCAAAGCCTATATCTCAAACCCATTGACCCCCAGTATACTGAAATTAAACTGTCGGAGGAACAACTTCAGCAGCTTTATCGCTACAATTTTTTTTATGTATTGTAATTATTCCTTGAAAACAAAAATTATAGTTTCAAATAATCCAGTCTCGTCAAATTACACCTAAATTCCAGATATCTGTTCTATGTTTATGCATTACTTTATACAGCCTCGTAGTCTTTGGTAACATAAACTCACTAGCTCTGGAAAGACTGTAGAGGAATTATCCTCAGGTCTTTAACAGTAGGCAGAAAAAGTCAGAAGAAGGATGTAAATAGCCCTTTTATTACTTTACAGACTATCGACTTCACTTGGGTTTATATTAGCCAACACTCTTAGCTTAACTAAACAATTAATGTTGAAGTTAAAATAAAATGTAATTAGACTAACCTAACAGCTAACAGGATAAAGTAAACGCGCTGGAAGGCTCTGCCTTGTAGAAGCCGGCAGGACAAGCCTAAAGCTTTCAACGTCTCAGAATTAAATCGCTATTTAATCGCGCTAACAACGTGGCCTCAAGTAATCAGAATACGCTCTAAAATCAACTTGCAAAACCTTCGCATTAATAGAATTTCTTTTTCCCTTAATCTGAATAAACGCGCGCTATTTAATTTACATTGTGTCATGGAAAGCATGGTTGTAAAGAAGAGTGAAAGGAAAGTAGCTTTAACTAAAAATTAACTATTAGTCAAAATAAATAAATAAATCCTGACAACTTAAAAAGGCTTTAACTTCTGTGAGTTATGATTTGGAAAATTAAGGTACCACAATAGGATTATTGAGAAATATATTAAAAGTGTACAATGTTTTGGCTTAAAATTTGATATGGGCGAGTTAGACATATAAACATCCTCGTGATTTAATAACCCTCTATATTATCTTAACAAAACAAAAACTGTACTTCAATTAGTCGGTGAATATATTACAAGGAAACTGTTACGGATCCAAACTTTCTTATATCTAGGTCGTTAAAGATGCACACTGCTACGTCACCGATTGGTAATTTCAGTGACTGAAAAGTTATGTTTGTTTACTGGAAATTCCAATACTCTAAAGCACATCGGTTGGGTTACATTGGATTATCTGAATACGGCCAAGCATAAGAGCACTGTCTGCCTTATGAAAGGTAAGGCCTTCATGGTGGACGTTCTAGGAAAAACTGGTTCGCATTCGTATTACACATGGAGAAAACCATGGGAAACAGCTATGCAGCCAGCCCGTTCACCTGGGATCGAATCAGAGTCGAACTCTCAGTGTTTAGCAGTCTTAACCATTCGGTCACTCATGGAAACGGAAGCAGAGAGAAGCAAGAAATCTGTGGTAATTCAGTGTTAACCTCCCACAAAGAGGCTATCTTATCACACTCTTTTTCAGTTCCTTCAGACTTTTGCCAACAACAGAACTTACTACTTCAAATGTATTTATGAGACATCTTCCAAATTCCCTCGTCGACTCTGTAGTGATAGAGTGCATGCCATCTCATTATAGAGTAGGGAGAATCGAGAGGGCAGATCTGCTGGCAAAGAAAGGAACGACTGTACTCCAGAAAAAAAAGTAACGAAAGAAATTTCGTTACTTTTCTCTCTATAAGAAATTAGTAGACATGAGCTTAGTTAGATTTATCATTTAATTCTACGCATAAGTCTAGTGAAAAGAGCTTGGCTTTTGGATAAGCTATTTGCTATCCTATATTCTCTTCGTAATATAGGTGTGGCATCTTTCGGTCTCTGAACTGAACATGATTACCTTAATACTCATATATTTTACATTAGGCTCGGGAACTCTTTGTCACTGTAAACATATAGACGGATAACATTTAAACACGTGTGTTTAACTTATAAACCGAGAAATATTATGACACAAGATAGCTAGCGTCTTAAGTTATAAAAGCCAGGCATTTGTAAATAAATAAATGAATAAGTATTTACCCGAAATTTAAATATTCAATTATAAGACACTTGACTAAACTAATAAGCTAAATTGAATTTTGATACTTTATCTTAGGTCCTTCTGGAAAAGCTATTGAGAGCATGCAGCAGTGTAAAAACCGTTTACGTTCTTCTGCGAACCAAAGATGGAATGGACCCCAGACAACGACTGGATGAACTTCTTACCTCTCAGGTAATTCAGGCATCATTACATCGTAAGGTATTAGTAAAATACATGCTAACACATGTTAGTAGAAACATTTAAGATACTAGTTTTCGATTTTTTACTTGTTATGAGTAAGAAAGTGTTTCCCTTTTTAGAATTTTCTAAAACATATAGCAATTTACCATACAGCAGTAACTTAATGTTAGCGAATCACTTAAAGGAATTCAAGGAAGAATTCTGTAGATTTTGGAAAAGAGAAAAAATATTTCAATCTTCTATCGAACGAAATGGTTGCTATCCAAGACTTTAAAGATGTTTAAATTTATATCTATTGAATTCAGTCGGTTTTTTTTTTTCAATTCGCTGGAGAAAATGTTTCAGATGTCCTCTATAAGTGAATAAGATATAAATAAAATTTTAATTCATTTGTAAATTGAATCTAAGCGTTTTTAGAAATGTAAGAAGAAGAAAATAAATGAGTACGTATACTGACATGCAAAAATTAAGGACGAGGCAGAGAAATGAGCACAGAAGTCAAACAAGCAACAAAATGGGGAAAAAGACCAATCAGGAGATAGATTTGTGACCATTACAGTACAGCATGCGACTATGTGGCCATTATTTAGAGGAAAGACTGTACGACAGGGTGTCAGTGAAACCTATTGCACGGTGTACAGGGATTTCAACGACGCCAAGTTGCTACTTCGGTGAAGTCAATCCAGAAGACGTCATAAGGATGATTTTACCCGAGATCACGTCTTTGGGAAGCTCAAAGGGTTATAAGCGTAGCAGAGGAGTTTAGAAACACTCAAAACGTTTCACGAGCCTGAAGAGCATTTCAAATGGCAGGAACAGTTATTCGAGCGTTCAGCAGCTGTCGTCTGCGAGCAACAACGGAGGTGAGCGACCGGTGTATTGTCTACTGGCGGGAAAAGACAGACGGGAAACATCGCAAGGCACATGTACAGACTACTGAACGTCCTCTATCACCTTTTAGCGTAGCCATGAGGCTGCACAAAGTATGACGACTAATCCGGTATGTGCCATTAACGCCTGCTCATTAGATGCCAGGTACACAAGGACTGTACACAACAGGAGTAAGTTCGAGTGCTCTTAACAGACAAGAACCAGTTTAGTCTGACAAGAAATTCTGGACGTATATACATCTGGAGAGAGAAGGGATTACTCAATAACCTCTCCGACATCATCGAAATGGCCTATTTTGGAGGTGCCGGAGTTCACGTTTGGAGAGGTATCGTGCTTGGTAGCCGGACTGAGCTCCATATCTCGCAAAGAATTTCAATCACTTTCATCCGCAATTGTACTACTGTTGAGGTGCTGTGGTTTCGAGTTCCTCTTTCTGGATGACTTACATCTCATCGTCCAGTAGCTATAGCAGAGCTCTTGGTGAGTGAATGTATTCAATGCATGGATTGAGCTGCAAGGTCCCACAGAACACGCGTGAGACCTTCTCAGAAGACGTTTGGCAGCACGTGACGATCCCGTTGCTGAAACTGGGGCTAGAAGACGGGGCTGCGATGCTTCAACAACCTTGTTCTCAGCATGGACAACCTTGTTCTCAGCATGGACAGATGTTGTAATTTCTACATCGCAGTCAGGGGTGATTATATCCCTTTCTAAGGACTGAATTTTTCTTGCCGAGTGCCTGTTAGCATTTCTCTATAGTTTTGCTCGGAGTTATTTTTTTAATTTAAGTGCCTCTTTACTTTTTTTATTAATTGTTTAAATGGTTTTGGTCACTTGTTCCATATTTTCACATCTCGGAGTGATTTATGATATGATTATGGTATAATTTGGGTCGATGTGGAACACTTCTACACGATGTTCCATTCGAAAACTCGTCTTGTCTTTAAATTTTTGCAACTAATGTATGACTGTAGATAGAACATTTTACTGTGGGGAAAAGGGGAAATAAACTTGCGCTCAAAGGTAAGGAGTGAAATTTCAAGAAATTTTTGCGCCTAACAATTTTGAAAGAACCTTCGCAGCCAAAAACTATTTTTTTCCTGACGTAAAACAAAAGACATAAATAATGAGCAATAATAATTAAAAATAAAAGAAAATGAATAAAAAATAAATTAATATTATTTATTAATAAAAATGATTAAAATTAAAGAACAAAAATCTATAAATAAATAAATAATAATAATTAAAAAATAAGTATTAAAAAGGTCAAATAAATAAATAAACAAAAATTAAAAATGCGAAGCAGTAACCCAGATAATTAGCTTGTAATTAAATAAACGTTCTATTAAATTTTGAAATTCAGTTTTTAAATTTATAAATAAATATACTAGAAATGTAATTAACATCATTACGTGAGCACAAAATCTTCATTTAAGTATAAGGTATTTCATATATCGTACATACGAAAATTTTCTTCTGTAAACAGCGTATTTTTAAATTTAGAAAATTCAAAATTAAATTTGTTGTGAAATTTTTGTCATTACTAACAGATAGTAACAAAAGGCAACTTCTCATGGTTTTTTAATAAAGATCTTTTTTGGTATTTCAGAGATTTAGCAAACGGAAAAGTATAATTTTGAATTCAATGTTTTGATTCCAATTTTGAAATGGGATTACTTGTTGCTTTTTACGTAAATTCAGTTCGATTACAAATAACGTAAATTCTTTAGCGTACTTGATAGGTAAATTCTAATAAGTACTATTAAAAATCCTTAATCATCATTTATTAACTCTAAGTCATTTCAATTATAACAGAAATTGAACAATCCAGAATGAGTCTACAAGTAGAAGAATTATTCGACATTCGTGGAAAAATGGAGCATTCGCGAAATCTCAGATTCGTAAAAATATTGACAGAAATTAAAATTACTATCCTAACTATAAGTAATTATGCATTGGTTTATCTCAATTCCTGTAGCAGAAAATATTTCAAAATTCCGCTTTATAGTAAAATATATAATTGTTTAAAATTATTAATTATGATGCAGACTAGAATGCTAGAAATAAATACCTGGCCTTCTACGGGGAACAGTAATTATATTTTATAAGTTCTTTGTATACAGCAGTCTTTAAAGAAAGCTAGACTTTAAACAACAGCTATGCTACTGAAGTGCGTTTTCCTAAGTTATCTGTACTTATTGGTAGCAAAGCTGTCGAATACTTAACTCTGACTACCAATAAGTATTTGGACACCTGTGATAGAAAAGAAAAACTAAAATTTATCAAAATCAATAGTTGGTAGCCTCCAGAGAGGTAAATTACAGCACCTGGACCCTCCGGGGCATACTTTCCACAAGTCTTTGTAATGACATCTAGTGGTATTTTTTCCACTCGGCTTGGAGAAGACATAGAAGTTCCTTCAACGATTTTTTTTGCCCACGGGTATGCACCCCTGAATTCGGCGATGCAACTCGTGCCTGAGGTTCTCGATAGGATTCAGGCCTGGACTCTGGTCAAGGCCAATCCTTTCGATGAGCTCCATTGGCACCATACCAAGCCTTGGTTAACGTCGAAACATGACAACTGGCGTTGTTTCCGTCCTGAAAGTAACAGGGGTCCAACCCGTAAAACTGCCATAACGTAGGAAGCACATTGTCATCCAAAAATAGTGCAGTAGGCAATCAAAGGTTGAGCTTACCATGAATGGGGACCAAGGGTCCCAACCATACCAGGGAGAAACACCCCCCCCGACCACAATTCCCCTCGCCGAACTTGCTGTTTTGGCACATGCATCTGGCAGGGAGACTTCTCCAGGTAACGCCAGACCCAGACCCTCCACCCGAACGGTAAAGGGTGAACATTGATTTCGTCACTCCAAAGAACCCGTTTCCCACTGATCTACGGTCCAAATTTTCGATGTGCTTTGCACCACATTAACCGAGCAGCGCGTTGGACTTTGGTGATCAAAGGTTATGGGGCAGCAGCACGACCAGAAAACCAAGCAGATGTGCTTCCTTACGGATGGTATTATTGAAACAATACTCCCGGAATACCTTGAAAACTCTTCCGGATGAGGGCCAATCGGTTGGGTGCGGTTCTTTCCGAATCTCTGGACATCACTCGTCGATCTCTATCGCCCAGTTCGTTGGGTCTGCCGACTCCGGGGCACATTTCAGACAATCAACCGCTCAACCACCACTTCTTAATCACATAGGCCACTGTCGATTTTGGGTATTTCAGATCGCTAGATATGTCCCTTAAGGAGCGCCACATTTGTGATACCCGAAAATAACCTTTCTCGAAATCAGAGAGCTCCGAACTGCAAGACATTTAGCATGCGACTAAAGCCAATGCTGTGTTTCCCTACCACAATATCTACCGGCGAAGTCCGTGACGTACCTTAGGACCGCAGATATCGCATTTGCATAGGTGTCCCAAATACTTATTGGTATCATGTAATTCTGTGTTCCTTAAACAGCTGTCGCCAACCGGTGGTGCCTGAAATCTTTTTCCTGGTCTAGAAAACCTGGGACAATTATTTTATGAAGATTGAGATTAAAAATGACGAGTAACAAACTATTATAAATATGATTATATTTTTTTTTTTTTTTTTTTTTAAGTTTTAAAACTACTACTTTTTAAGCGAATTCCTTCTGATCTAGGGTTTTTTTAAGCTACTTTTGCAGGTGTATCTCGCGACACTTGAAAGTGAGAGATGCATCCAAGATATGCCTGCTTTATCAAAAATAACGCGAACTGGAATTCTCTTTCCTTTTTGAATTACAAATTGCTATTGGGTCGTTTAATAATACAGTTTCTCTCTGTGTCAATAGGCCATCTTGATGGATTTTTATTTTTTATGAGAAACCATCTGCCAGTCTTGTTTATAATTGCATCCTTGGAAGTTTCCCGTTTTGTTTTGTCTAATGTTGATCGAATGGCGCCATTGCTGAGTAAGCTATGATTATTATGTTTACAATAATTAAAAATTGGCGGCCTAACACTGTCAGTTTATTGATATTGATTTGCGTTTGCCGGTTTTTTGTTCTTTTCGTGAAGTTCCTTTCCAGTGATATGGAAATGTGAAGCTTTCTGTACCAGAAGGTAAGATTTTTGTACTTTTCATGTAATTTTTCAGTGTGAACGAAATATTTGTAGTTTGTTGATTATTATTGCATAAGTGTATTTACCTTTCTTTAATTCATATTAGTGGTTCGCCAAATATAAAATTATATAAGTAGTGGTCCGTGAAGGTTCTAAGGGTTGACGACCCCTGCTTTATAATTACTTAATAAATATATCATCAGAGAAATTAATCATGAATACTTAAATATGCTTAATAAAGCTTCACCTTTTTACAATTCTTTGTGGTTATATTAATCATTATTACCTTTAATGTTAAAATTATTCGGCATTTTGTATGCAGTATATCTAGAAATTGACTATTCTTAGAAAAATACATAATTTTCTTTTTTTTTCAATAAAAATATGAATAATTAAGGGGATATATTTATAACGGTTTTTTAATCAACTTATGTATTTAAATTCATCTGCAGGTGTTTTCAAGGCTAAAACATGAGAAACCCACAACTCTTACAAAAATTGTGCCAATTGCGGGAGATATTAGTCTTTCCAACTTAGGACTAAGCCAGTCGGATGTGAATATGCTATCCAAGCATGTGTCTGTGGTATTCCATTCAGCTGCTACAGTCAGATTCGATGAACCTTTGAAGTAAATACTTGTTTTAAAATTCTTTACTTGCTTGTCTACCATTAAAATTAATCATGAATATATCTTTGTCGCTGTTACTAAATAATGAATACGTAAACATGTACTATGTATACATGTACGTCCCTGACATTGAGTCCCTAGAGCCAGTAAATGATGAATACACAGAGTCCTACCCTTGAACACGCGCTCTAGAAGCCCGAATTTTGAATTTGTTTATTATTTATTTCACATTTTGTGGAAAATTTAATAAAATTGTGATTAACAAACTCAGTGATTTCAAAGAAATGGGTTGCCACTGCCTAAAATAAAATATTTTTAGCTTCCAGGCGTCAGTGAGCTGCCAATCGGCAAAGCGTAAAATATTAAATTTTTCTTTCAAATTTAATCTCTCTGTTATTAATTAACAGATTAAGTGATTTAAAAGCAGTAAATTCAGTTCTTCATGTTTATTATTATTAATTATTAGCTGGACCCGTGAAAAGAAAATAGCTGGGCACATTAAAATCATGATATATTTTAGTACATTAAAAATATAAATTAAAAGCGTTCAGTTTGTTTATGGTGGTGCGATGGAAAAGTTACTATGACAATCCATCAGAATACATCAAAATTTCTGCAAGAAATGCAGATAGGAAAAGAAAATGCTTGGGATAACAGCGATAATAACAGAATGATATCACAGTATATTAAAAAATTGTTTTTATCCACATCAGTATGTACGAGTAATTTAATCCTACATAATCTGGAATATATAAACATTGTTAAACCGCTCGTTAAAACGACATTGCTAAATTGAAAAAAATTATTTAAGTATACAGATATTAATCTTCTATTCCCATGATCCTATCGAAATAAAAGAGTAATAAAGTAAAACCTTGATTCACGAATTTAATTCATTCCTGAAAATATTTCGTCATCCGAAATATTCGTAAATTGAAACGATTTTTCCCATAGGAATTAATGTAAAATGAATTAATATGTTCTTGGATCCGAAATGATTGCTTGGAAAAGAGTAATTCGTATACAAGTTCGTAATACAAAACCAAAGATTTCATTAAATCTGACATATACAGAATATTTAACCCAATGCTAAACATAAAGGGAAAACATAAATTAAATTTTACCAGATCTATATGAAATGAAGTTCACGGCGTAAGTACAGCAAAACATGCAAAATGTTATTGTTTAAAAGAAAAATTCCATTTCGTGAAAATATCAGGTAGCTGCTGTCTTTCTGAGGATTTAGATTTTCTCTCTCTCTCCCTCTTTGTAGAAAGAGAGACCACCGCCACCACCTTTTTTAGTTTGGAAGCCATTGCAGAGACATTAGGTATTTTGCCCTCGCCGGGAATTGCTCATTTTTTGTTTGAACCTGGACCTCTCAAATACGTTCCGATTCAAATGCTACCGTTACAACACGAAAGCATGCTGGAAGAAAGGAGAAAATACCTTATATAGTGCCCCTTTGAACCTTTGAAAGGGTGACTGGGGATTAAGGGACCCAATCACCAAATCCTGGTCTCGACGAATTATTTTCCACCACTTTTTAGTTCGGGCGTCCTGGTAGAATCGTCTCCCCATTTTCGCCATTAGGATTTTTGGAAACACAAAAAATGAGCAATGCCGTTGCCGGGACTCGAACCTGGACTTCTCGAATATGCGCCGAGTGTGCTACCGTTACACCACGAAGGCATGCAGAAAGGAAAGAGAAAATGTCTTATACCTTTTTCTTAAAACCGATCGTTTCGATTTGAGAATCGCTGAGCCTTTGTCCCATTAAATATTTACCAACTGTAATTTGTTTTTGTCTTTGTTTTGAAAGGTTCCTAAAGCAAGACACTGCAAATATTTCTGTTACAGCTTACTTCTGCTTTATTAGAGTTATAATGTTTTGTGAACCTCTGCACCTTACCTCATTTTGCCCAAATTTCGCAAATCAAGTTACCTCAGAATATCTTTCCCTACGCCTTCTTCTTTTAAACACATTTTGTCGGCTGCATTAACTATATTTTGTAGTTTCATTTGCTGTCGGATTATATCTTCGTATCTCGAAACATAGTTCGTCATCCAACGCACTTTTCATTCGGAAAATTTGTTCGTGATTCAAGGCGTTTGTGAATCATGGTTCCACCGTATAAACGAAAATGTGATTTTTCCTATTTTGAAGTGTGTTCTTGTTTTGAATATTAAATTAAATGAACTTACTGTTCAAATAAAACTGCTTAAAAATACAGGTAAATTGTTAAAAGCATTTTCTGTTATGATAAAGAGTATTATTCTTTCCGGTATTTTAATGCTGTCAGATTTGGGCTAACCGTGGATGTCTTCCCTGGTATTGTCCGGTTAATCGGGAGTCTACAGTATTTCAAAATCTATGATAATAGAATATTAGAAAACCTTATCTACTAAGTGAGGAAGTAAACTTAAGCAGATTGAAGGAAGAGAAAATGAGGAAGAAATAATGAAACATCTCGCAGCTTTAAATCTTAAAAATATTTTCATAAAACTTTTAAGTGAAAAGCGAAAAGAAATATTTAGAAGCATTGCAGTTAAATAGTTTTAACAAATCTTAAATTAAGTTTCTGAGTTTAAGTTGATATGGTTTTTTTTCCCTTGTAGAACACAATTAAATGTTTCCTTAAGTTTATGAAAACTATTTTAGAATACTTTATGCATCTATATTCTAAAAAGATCTGCTTTATAAAAATATGCAAATGTTTGAAAATCAAAAAGAAAATCATTGATCATATATTTTTTGATAATATATGAAATTTATTAATTATAAAAATTTAAATTTTATTTGGTATTAATTTCATTAAAAATTTTAACTCAGTTCGATACAAAATGGCACGGTCGTCTTTCATGAAATAGTTTTACAGCGTACTGATTCGGACTTTATAAATGATGTACAATGGGCATTTAGCGCCCGGTTATAGAGTACTGCTTATCTGGGAATAGCTGAAACTTTTAGCAGAGCTGCGGTTTATCACTACATAGCTCAAAGCATCACATAAGATAGTTTTCGATGATCTATTGACAGCGCTGGTGAGCAAGTTTGAGCTTGAGCAAGCGAGAACAAGATGGAAAATACACTGAACAGATTTTTCGATCATCTTTTTTCGGAAATAATTGGCCTTTGAACCGTATGAACCACGCATGATAACAACCCATGCGCTTATGGAAATCAGACTAGTTTCTTTGCTTTCAACACTCAAGGCCATATTTTTCTCCTTTTTAAAATCTGAATCCTATATATGTTTCTTTTGTTTGCTTCTTGGTCTGCCAATTGCTTTAAAAGATGACCTCCTTAAAAAGCAGAGCTTTTAAAATTTAGGGCCGCAAAGGGCGGTAGAAATTGGTAGTCCCATGGTTTCCACTAGGTGGCAAAAAGACTAAAGAAAGGGCGGCCGATCCTGGCCCTTTCTCCACTATTTTATCATAAAGCGGCCCTCGATAGAAATGTTAGTACAAAGGGTAGTTAGCCCAGAAGGGTTATAGTCTCGAAGCGTCATTTTGGGTCGAATAAGATATTTTTGTCACCAAATGCTTTGTATTACACTTAAAGTAATATTAATATTGATATTGTTTATTATATTATTGCACTTATACTAATTATCACCTTTTTATTATATTATTGCTCTGTATTATATTTAAAGAAATTAAATACTGAAAAATCTGCATGAATGTATGTACGCTTTTCGCACTGTGAAAAAACAACGATACCTACAGCCATCAAATTTTGAATAACGTAATCCTCCGCCCGAATATGGGCACCTACAGGCCTGAATTTTGAATTTCTAATTTTATTTTTCATACTTTTTAAAATCAATTTTTGATCAAGAAACTCAATGGTTTCAGAACGAGCAGTGGCAACACACTGTGCGGAATAAAATATTTTTATCCCTAACGCGCTAGACTGTCTATCGGAAATTCTAAAGATATGCTGTTTTTAAATATCTCAAATGTTAACTCAAATGCTTTCGTAAAGTATATGGGTACAAAGGGCTTTGACTCTAAATTATGATCACCTTGTATTTCTCATTACTTTATATGCCTTAAATTTTAATTGCAAGTCTCAGATTTGAGGATTATGAGCTAGGTTAAAAAAAATATTATTGTTGTTTTTATTGAACAGGAAGAAATATCAAAATAGCATCAGAAAAATTTGCCCAGTTTTTTAAAGCACATTTACTTCTATTTCACTCATATATAGTATTAGATATAAGTTATATAAAATATTTGTTTATTATCTAAAAGTTAATCATCTGTTTTCTTATTTCAGAAAGTCCGTCAATTTAAATCTTTTGGGTACACAACGGGTCCTGCATCTGTGCAAGAAAATGGCGCAGTTAGCGGTAATTATTCCAAATGAAGGCAAAGTTTTCAGCATTTCTGTAACATTACATTGGATATAGTAATAGCTCCTTACAAATTTTATTTGTAAATTTCTAAATCCATTTTGGTTTTACGCCAAAGGTTAAATTTATATCTTGCTTAAACATTACCAAAAAGTAAATCCCCTTTCTTTTTCGCCTGCTGCGAAGTATTATAACACAAACTTTGTTTATCAACAAAAGTATCAAAGAAAATTACCAAATAATTTTTATCTTTTTCTCATATTACAACAATAATACTTGAAAATTGAAATTTAGAGTCTTCTAAACCTCAGCAGTGAAGTATGATAGTTCGGTTCATGTGACATCACCTTATGACTTGTACTAATCAACAGTGCTTTTAATAAATAAAAATATTCAACCTGACTTTGCGTTGATTTTGTGAGACAAATGACACCATCTCTGGAAATGAACTGAAACTTTTCGTTTGAATTCAGAGTCATGCAAAGGCTTATTTTTGGCAGTTAATAAAATTGAGATTGACGTGTATTCGTTTCACCTTAATAGGTATCAAGGATGCCCTATTGTTCACAAATTTCTTCTAAAATTTTGAAATCTTTCCGAAATGCATTTTTGTCAAGCAACTGTGTAATATCTTTTTCACCAGGACGTTTATTGTGTGATTGTTAAACAGCATATTCACATAAATCTTTACGCATTTCCCCCCTTAAGCACTGGTAGTAGACATGTAAATTTCCAATTATAAAAATGTTTTAAATGATGTAAATATTCACATTCCAAAATTATTTATTAAAGTTCGATTTAAAAAGTCGATTTTATGAAAATTAAGAAATCTATCGTTTCTCAGCGTTTACTCGTTACTATAGTTTTATTTACTAAAAGTTTATACTTACTCTTAGGAAAAAAACACTAAAAGTTTGATTCCCCAAAATTAACCGATATATATTTCATTTCAAGGTTTGAGATTTTTTTTACACTTTTCAACGCCCTGCACCAGGTTTTAGCAAGGGACTTCTAAGGGTGACTCTTCTCCTTAGACGTTCTTTACCTTCATAACTTTGAGGCTGCTTAAAAATAAATTAGGGTGATTTGAGATTGATTTTTAGAGGTTAATTTTAGTTTTAATTAAAGAATAATTTATAATTTCCTGACGTTTGGTATGCAGAAACCATTTTAACACTAGTATTTTATAAGTTTTCAAATGCTAAAAATATGTTAATATGTTCATAACACTATTATTCCACGCACAGTTTTTAATATATTCATAATACTATTATCCCACACACAGTTTCATTACTTTAAAATTATAACTTAATTGTCATACAAAAAATTATTGGACTAAAGATATTTTTTTTATATATTAGATATTAATTATATTTGCTAATAATATTTTATTTATATTTTATTAATTTATGTAGATAATGTTACGAGTTTACTATGGGCCAATACTTAAAGCATGCCACTTTTTTCTAGCACACAAATTTAAAAAGATTTTGAGAATAAGATTTCTTTTTTGAAGAAACTTGTTTTGATCAAAACTTTTCAAGACAGTCTGCAAATCAATGCTCGTTTTTTGATCTATTAACATCAGAAACCTTTCCCATGTCCCACACATGCTCTATTCAAGTTCGGTGATCTAGCAGACTACGGCATATGAAAAATTGTTTCCCTCTCCAGATAAATACGCACCACTCGAGCTCTATGCGGCGTGTGTTATCGTCCACAAACATTGCACTGGTACCCATTGCAGCGAAAACAGGACACACAAGAGGGTACAGAATTTCGTAGCGTTATCGGACGGCTGTGTCGGAACTACTAGGAACCACGTAGAGGTCGGTGCAGCCGTTCGTTGCTATCCCAGCACACAAGCAGGCAAGTAAACCTCTTCCTCTGTAATGGTCTCTTTCGACGATATTTAGCGCCCGATAACGTGTCTCTGGCTCATGCCATATCATCACCCTTCGGAAATCGTTACGCATATTAAATCGAAAATCATCCATAAATGTACGTGACGTCCCTGCTCTGGTGTCCAACTGCAATGTTCACGGCCCCAATTCAACCATGTTCTGACATGCGATAGGGACAAAGCAAGACAAACCACACCAGCCGTCGGACGTACAGTCCACTAGCATGCAGTCGATGCGACACAATCTGGGGGGACACGGGCAACCTTATAGCAGTAGAAAGATGCGACGCCAGCTGTCGTGCTAATAGTGACCTACAGCGCCTTGCACAGAAAGCGATCGTTGGCCATTGTAGTATTCCTCTGGCGTCCCTACCCACGTCTTCTACATGGGTTTTGATCCCTTTGGTAACAAATCGACAGCATACTACGATGCATATTCAGTTCTCACACAACAGCGGATTGTCTGTATCAACATGTAGCATCCCGTCAGCCCTCCAACTTTTTTCATTGTGCAAATGTTGTCTTCGGCTCATGCATTCCGCTTTGGGTATCTCGGATTAAACAGAGCTGCTACTGCTTGCGAACTGACGCCGAGGTCCGGCGTGTTCTTCTTTAAAGGATTGTAGTGTGACTGCGGGATTGCATTCTAAACTAATTTTGGTTGCCTATTTGCATTCGGTGATGCAACCTTTGCCTCATAGATAAACTGTATATTTTAATTCCGCTTTTTACATTTGTACCTTTTATTTTAGCGTTTGTTGCTTATTTTTTGAGCACGAGTGTATTATAAACACGACCTCTCGATTTCTTTCCCTTTCGCCTGAGCTGATAGACGGCGGGTTCTTATAACACTTAGCTGAGATTTTGAGAAGGAAGATAAAAATTAAGTAGGTATGAGAAATGAATAAATATACATCAGTACAGTGTAATGTTCAGAAATGATGCTTAAAGAAATAAAGTTTCTAAAACATCTCATAAATGTTTCCAAAACATCTCATAAAGTCTTTCTGCTTGGAGAAAACTCATCTCCGCCTTTCACCAAACAAAAGGTTTTTAAAACTAATAGCATAAACATTTTGTAAATTTCCTCTATTTTTGAAAATTTAATGTACGAGATTTTTAGATCATCCTGTGTAAGGCGTTCTTAATTTTACGTCTTTTTAACAAAGCTGTTTAAAACATGCGTCCTTGTTTACAACATACATGTCCTCTTGATGTTATCTGTCTGCCTTTGATGACTATATGATACATGTGACATGGTGCTATATTTCTCTGAGATATCAAGAGAAATAATCTCAGTGTAAATCATTTATCTGACTACACAAACAGAAGTTGAGTATAGAGACTGCTTACCACTTAGGCTTACAATGCCCAGGTCTCGTTCTCCAGAATAACCTTATATCTTCATATAACTCTGTCCTCTTTTACAAAATCAAAGAAAACGGGCGCTAACAGCAATTGCTGTAAACTTAAAGAAGGTCAGCAACCTAATTGCATTTCATGCGGACAAAACCACATTAGTTCATTCTCAGGATGCCCTGAATTTCAAAAAAGACTTGCGGACATGAAAAGGAAACAGGAACTTAGAAATCCGGCAGCTGAAAAACTGAAGTTTACTTTCGCACCCTCATAAAGGACATTTCATCAGTAAGCTTTACTACCAAATATTCTTCTTAAAGCGAAGTTCTCACGAAAAATTCTACCCAAGATGAAAATATTGACCCTATTCTTGATGTTTTCAAGAACCCAAATAATCTTCAGATTTTATAAAACATCCTGTTAATAGTACAGAAGATGTGAACTGTTAAATCACAAGTAGAAAAAATAATCTTAGGAATGCAAGCCGTACAAATTATGTTAGCCTACTCTGAATTTGAAGATTAATTCTGATCGGATGCCTGATTTAAGTATCCACCCACTCATCTAGCTCTTCACAATTAAGTTTATTGCCATTGCCAATGATTCTTTACTCCTTTTTTACTAACTCTGATTTTTCTTGTCGATTCTCCCCTTTATTTTTTCACCACTATCTTCCCCTCTGCCTCTCAGCCATACAGGCTTTCCTTTTACTCACCTTTCCCTTCTTTTCTATTTTCCCTCCAACTTTGCTCATTTTTACCCTTCTGATGTGGAAGTGCGTGGTGTTACTACAGGGACTTTGTAATACTTCCTCATTGGCATTGACAGCAATTGAAAGAACACTGTGCTTAGGTTTTCAAAGTGTTTAATTAAGTCTTTGTCAAATCATGGGATATCTGAGCATTCAGTATTCCTCTGACAACTTTTCCATTATCTTGGGAAACGGCAAGTACAATGCTCGACTTAGAAACACCTATGTGGATAATAAATGTATTCTGCAGCGGAATGTTGCAAATCAAGGATAATACATAAATGAGATATATTTAAACACATGATTTTGTTTGGCCAACTATTAGTTGCAGAAAATACTGCTTCTTTTTATTAAAAAATTGTGTTACATTTACTAATACATTTTATATATTTTTTTATGCACTATATATATATGTGTGTGTGTGTGTGTGGAAGTTACAGGTTTCATATTTTAATTCATAAAATGTTTTTAGGCTCTCGTTCATGTTTCGACGGCTTATAGTTATTGTAACAGAAAAGACATTGATGAGATTATCTACCCGGAGAAGATTCCAGCTCAGAAAGTTATAGAAATTACTGAGTAAATTGGGTTCTTTTCTTCTTCTTTATTTTGTAATGATATATTATAATTTTATATTTAAGTATTTACATTTATTATATACATATATTTGTTTATTTTATTGTATAAGATATCGAAAAGGCAAAATCAGTATGGAGTAATAAAGAACATATTGTTTAATGTAAGTTCAAGTTCAGCTTTCTTGATGGTTTTTCTTGGAAAAAACGTTTTTTGGGGGATAGATAGAGTTATTTTTTAATTTGTGAATTCGAAGAAATAAATATAGGTATATATGCTTTCAATATTAATACAAATCCATCTTTATATATTCGCTATGCTTTATAGCTTTAATCTGTTGCAGAGGATAAATTTGAACAGTCTTGATAAATTCGCATTTCTTGTTTTGTAAAGTCTAATAGATTTTTAAATGAAGTTCTGAAAATGAATTAAATTATTCTTCAAAAAATAACTGAATGCATATTTATATTACCGTTTTTTCTTTATGATATAGCATGATTGTAAGCTTAAGATAAAATTTAGATAATTTTTCGAGTACATTTCTATATTAAAATTATTCACTCTGTTCATAAATAGAATTACGACACATCTTACTCTTCTGGAGTGACTATTCTAGAATACCTTTGAGAGATGGAAAGAGGACTTTAAAGCTTCACAACATCTTTGTACACCGTGTGCATGGGGTTCTAGAGAGAAGGTCCTGGAGATGTCCAGTATGTGACTTTAAGTGTTCTCGAGGATATGCTTGAGAGATCAGGGACATAATGCATAATGCTCGTTACCGTGAGAAGCTTTTGGGTAACGTAAGCTAGTTACCGTGAGAAGGTTTTTGGCTATCGTGAGAAACTATGTGAGGCAATTCCAGATTTATTATTTCATATATTCTATCTTATTCTAATTTCGATAAATAATCAGCGAAATGCTTATCAACGGCTTGGAATTTATTTACTAAGCATTCTTAGTTTTGTACGAATATTTAGTAAATAAATGGCTACTCTAAGATGAACTACTGTGATTATATTAAAATTCTATAAATATTACAATAATATTAGTTTAAGAATCTTACTGACTGAATTAGCTGAATTTGATATTTATATCGATATTAAGAACTATTACTTATGCCATTATTATTATCCATTCATATGTTGCAAATTTGCTTAAATTGTGTAAGTTAGAGATGATGTTTACTCAGATGGATGGACGACGAGCTACTGGAGACCCTCTTGCCTAAACTGATGGATGGTCGTCCTACTACCTACCACTACAGTAAAGCTTTAGCGGAGAATTTGCTGGTTTCAGAAGGCGGAGGTCTGCCTATTGCTATCGTTCGCCCTTCGATAGTCACAGCCGCATTTAAAGAACCTATGCCGGTAAAAATACGTTTGCTTAGTTCAAAACTCCTGTAAAACTTAATATATCTATATATCTCTTATTATTTGCTAACACAACATCCATCAACGTGTTCAAAATGAGCTGAGTTAAAATGGTAGATTGCATTGTTAAAAGAATAATAATATTGCTTTTGAAACGAAAAAAGTGTTTTCTTATGTTATTTCTCCTTAGTGGATTCAATTGAAAATAATTTTCATTGCAAATAAAGCATACGTGGAAAAACGCTTTTTAAATTACATGAATTTAGACACAATAAAAAGTAAACTATCACGGAACTACTGAACATATGTGATTAAGAATAAAAACATTGGACTGGTAATAACCCCTGATTTTTTTATGAAATCTAAATTTTTATACAGACATTTAAATGAATAAAAGTAATTATTCTTTCTGTTATATCACTTCTGTTTCTTCAGAATATACGAATTCCCAAATTTTAATGTTCAGTCGCTTTAATCTTTCCTTCTAGATCAAGTAAGGGATAAAAAGATTATTTTCTACTTTGTAGTGCATTCAATTAAAATCATCTAAATTAGCACGTTAACCGCCGAACCTATTTTTTCTTCCTTTCCGTTTAGCCACGATATCCGATTTCCCCGAAATACTGGCGGCCGGTAATCTGCGCAGAATCTTAAAAAAGAATATGCTTTTTTAAGTTATATATCATTGGTAAACAGTAACTGATGCTATCTGAATGAAAAGTAAGTTTTCAGTCACGGGTGACCGAGGCGGGCGAAAGGAATGTATAGTGTCAGTTGCTGGTGACTGGCATGGCGCTTAGAATGTTAAGAAGTTATATATAATTATACACTTGTGTCCATATATTTATACTAAATGAATACATTTAATCGCTAAATAATACGGAAAATCTCTTCCTTAAAAAATTATTCCCTCTAAGTAATGTAATAAAGAAGTGGATGGATATCACCCTTATTATCATAAGCTTTTATTTAGTTCATTCGTGGTGTCTGTTGCTGTGATTGAAAGTTTGTCCCCGATTTTTAACATTGCTTCTTGATAAGCAATAGAGTTCAAATTTAGTACATACCACTGCTTATCGGTGATAATGCAATGCAATGAAGCGATTTTCTCAAAATCCAACTTTTTTTTAAATTTAATGTTTAAACGATTTTTCGCTCATACCTTTGTTTAATGAATAAACTAAAATTCGCAAAAATGTACTATTTGCACCATCGGATAGAGCGAGAAAAAATCTTTAAATTAAATTGTATCCAATTTGTAAAATCATTTCTGATATTTTGGCGAATTTTCGAAAATCGCTGAACTTCGACTTTTTTACAGCATTTATGATTTTAAGATTTCAGCATCTAAAAACGTATCGGCTACAAAATTTTAAACTTTCCACAGATTATAAAGCAAATACGCCCTCTTTTAAACCAAGAATGAGAGAAAAATATTAACTGGGCAATTTAATACACTTTTTTTTTTAAAGACATGCTGATATGTGAAACAGAAAAGGAGGTATCGCTTCTTTCTTCTGCATTGCTGAGAAACGTAGTTCCACGGTTATGATTTTATTGCGCCATAATAAAATCTGTAGCGTGATGTTATTTCGTTAGTCCACTTTCGTGCAAATAATTATTTACAGTTTACTGTAGAAGTCTTCTGTCATTTATAAATGCCTAGCTTTTTAAGTTCATTTCATAAATTTAAAAAAAAAAAATAAAATAAAAGGGTTTAAGAATTGGTTTAGCGTTTACAGTCTTTTTTCACTTTCTTTCTTTCTTTCTTTCTTTTTCTTTTTTTTTTTTTTTTTCATTTCTTTCTTCTTCGTTTTTTTTCATTTCATAAGTTTATATACATTTTCGCCAGCATTCATCCTAAAAGCTTTTTTTCTTAATTTTATTATGATAATATAATGTTCTTGTATGAGACTAGTAGTGTATAGTCTTAATGCGACTTTAAAAATTCTAACATCTAAAATATATACCTATTATAAAGTTTTGAAATTTTCTAAAATTAACTTTTCGCTCTCTTTTTAAATAAGAATGATCCAAAAATATTAATTATGCGATTTTCTTCAGTTTCCTCCCATACATACCTACAGCTAAAGCTAGCCGTATTTTTAGAAGCTTTTATTTAACCCTTTGCACTCGACACCTTTTTCGCTCGGGTAAGCAGCAACTCGAACGAAATGCTTTTCCTCATATTTGGTAAATTTCTTACAGCTAACTTAAAAATGCTTTCAACAAACACAATTTAAGGAAATCGAATAGTTTTAAACAAGAAAATCGAGACGAATTTTTCCTCATATTGGTTCCTCATTTCATTTGGTAAATTTTTACAGCTAACTTAAAATGCTTTCACAACACAATTTAAGGAAATCGAATAGTTTTAAACAAGGAAAATCAATCGAGACGATTTCCTCATATTTGGTAAATTTCTTACAGCTAACTTCAAAATGCTTTCACACACAATTTAAGGAAATCGAATAGTTTAAACAAGCAACTCGAGACGATTTTCCTCATATTTGGTAAATTTCTTACAGCTAACTTCAAATGCTTTCACACACAATTTAAGGAAATCGAATAGTTTAAACAAGCAACTCGAGACGATTTTCCTCATATTTCGTAAATTTCTTACAGCTAACTTCAAATGCTTTCACACACAATTTAAGGAAATCGAATAGTTTAAACAAGCAACTCGAGACGATTTTCCTCATATTTGGTAAATTTCTTACAGCTAACTGAAAATGCTTTCACACACAATTTAAGAAAATCGAATAGTTTAAACAAGCAACTCGAGACGATTTTCCTCATATTTGGTAAATTTCTCACAGCTAACTTAAAATGCTTCCACACACAATTTAAGGAAATCGAATAGTTCTTTTATGTATGAAGTTACTTGCGGTCCTTTGTCTCTTTAGTCGGATACTTTGTTGTAATATACCCATCGGACAAGTATCCGACGAACAGCCAAAGGACGACGTACCTGGACCAAAGAAGGACAGTCCAGGTCCAAAGGACGACGAAAGAGCCAAAGAACAGATATTCTTTGCAGTATTTCATCGAATTCTGTGCACATTATCCATTCTGAATTTTCTTTCACTATTCTGAATCACTATCGTTTTCTCATTCGCTGTTCAACTCTGATTTTTTGGCCTCTTACACCTGTTACTTCATCTCTATCCTCATCACTACTCTCTATCGTCAAACAGTCTATATATAGACGTAATTTCTTTCTTCATCAACGAAAACTCGAACTCATCTTCACTTGAACTGATTCCTTCATCGTATTCCATGTTTATCTGCGTTACTTTCCGTGTGTAACGTTACTTTCCGCTTCAAAAATAATACTCCTATTGCCAACACTGTTGTGTTCGAACTAACGTCGAAAACGCATCTGTAACATAAATCTATAAAATGTATTTAAGATTGGCAGTTGCTTTACACGTATTGTTGAATACACCCATGAAGCAATATTGCCCAAATCAAACCTAAATAAACATCGCTAATTCTGGAATTATAGCATCAAACCGAGAGTTACCTTTCGTTACCGTACCAAATCAAGCGGTGACCGAGAGTTCGTTTTTCGAGTGCAAAGGGTTAACTTCTTCAAGGAGTTTTCACTATGGTCAGAAAAATGGTGGTTTTCTTGCATTCAGTTTTACCTAACCTTAATTTGTCTCACGGGAGGACTAAACGGTTAATTGAACACAGTTTTTCTATTTCTATTTTAAGAAAAGAGAAAGATAAATTTTTTTATGAAAACAAAAATAAAACCTTTCATTATTTCAATTTAATAAATACTATTTTATTTTCTTAGGGCTGGGTTGATGGAGTCAACGGGCCAACAACATTCATTATCATGGTAAGTATACAGAAATTTTCAGTACAACAAGGTAACTTTAAATGCATCGTACATAAACGTAACTTCAATGTATGTTATTCAGCTATTTTCTGTGACTCCAGAATCAATGACAATAACTACAACGTTTTGCTAAAAAAAATCTGTTTTTTTTTTTTTTTTTTTCTACTGTGAATTATTTAGCTCAGTCTTTTTGGAATATGAAATTTAAATGCGATAACCTGATAGATTCTCTAAAACTGAAAAAAATATATCTTAATTGTAACCTTTCAGACTGGCCAAGGTCTTCTTCGTACAATGTTGGTTTATGAAGGAACAGTCGTGGACTGGATGCCTGTAGATCTGGTGGCTAACTTATTAATATCCTCAGCATGGCAAATCGGATCTCAAAAGTATTTTTCTTAAAATATTATTATTTATTATTTGTCTGCATCATAAATTTTAAATTAATTAAGTAACTAATTTAGTATTTTATATTAAATTAAATCAAAAGAAATTACTAGTATTAACAATTTAATTTCAAGCAAAAATAACAAAATGGCATTAAAAACACATTGTTGAAAGAATTATACTTTATTAACTTAGCAAAAAAGTACATCTTTACATATTAGCAAATATGTGCACAATCAATATTTTCACGGGGACACAAGCATAAGTTTAACAACAAGAGATATTTTAAACAATTTATCTTCAAAACGAGCAGTATTATTAATTTTATAAGAGGGATTAAAATAATGTTCCTTAAGTGAGACTAAAATATCTTAAATTTTGTTTCGCAATAGGGGGTGAAAAGGTGATCCAAATCAGTATTTTATATATAAAGCTGTGGAGCTTCTTGTAGTTGTAAGATTATTAAACAATGACGAATGTCCACCGGCCTTTGTTTTCGTAAACTTAAGTCGTAGACATATTTCCAGTAAAAATTATTTTAATTGACGTAAATGTTCATGTCTTTCCAATTTAAAAAAATTTTGCAAAAATTACGAAATCTATTTTTTTAATGTTTCCCAGGGTATATTTATAAAAATTTTATACTCATCATAAAAAATAAAATACAAAATGTGTCGTTGTACCAAAGACACAAATTTTTCTAAATAACATAAGGACCGGGACCGTATATAAAGTCATTGCATAATTTTTAAAATTTGATTTTTTTTAAATTCAAAATTGCCAAGAATGAATATGTGCGTTATTTAAAACATTTTTGTAATTTGAAGTATAGGTATCCGGCTAAAGGTTGCGAAAATAGAGGCTGGGTATAGAACTTTGCGAACATAGTATGTTAAATTACTAACACTGGAAAATTTGCTATACGCTGACATATAAAAATTTTGATTCATATCTACAAAGCCTTAGACATTTGTAACTGTTTTCATAAAAATTCTCTACTTTATTTTGATAACTTTTGTAACTGAAAGTATATTTAAGAATCAATATACAAAGATCTATGCAAAATTTAGTTTCTTTTTAAGAGCACCTTAGAGCATACTGAAAAGAAAATACGCGTTTTGTTAACTACCATTTCCATTCCAGTATTAAAGCAAGTATTGAAAGTCATTAAAGCATGCTCAATAAATAACCCTTGCTTTGGTAGCAAATTCAAGAACGTATTAAATATAAAAAGGTGCAGGCAGTTTGAATTTAAATAACTCCATCCTGAAAGAAATTTTGAATGGATATAGATGAAGTCTCATACATGAATAACAGAAATTTCTCACGAATCTGTTTATTAACTAACAGTGTATTGAAGTTATCAGTCGTCTGAGTTACCGATAGGTATAAAAGAAAGTTTCCGAATCTTTTAAAAATTCCAAAATTCACAAAGAATGCTATGACAAAAGCTTGAAGACAGGCGAATAATTCATATTCTTGTTATCTTAACTAGATTTCTTCCTCTCTTTCTTTCATTATCGAAATAAAATGGCCAGAATAATTTACGTAAATGTTCCTTAGTTACATTTCAACCTGGAATGTGAACAGTAATTATAAACATTAAACAGTAATTACAAATAGTAAAACAGTAAAAAGTGACTACAAATATAAATTAATAAAGATAAAAAATTAGTCATTTTCAAACAGGTAATAAATAAAGTGATAAAGATGGAAAAGATAAAATAATAATTAAAGGTAAATATTGCAGACTGCAAAATTTTTCCAGTCACCCTATTTCGTGCTGACATTAATTCATTACAAATAAATTCATGTTAATTAAATAAGGTATTTCCTTTTTGTAGGCTTCCTTATACTTGCTTGCTTAATTTTCTTACTAATTTTGTTCTCCATTTATATACACTACTATATCACACTATTATTTGATATTCTGCTTTTTAACATTCTTTGCGTTGTACTGTAATGATCACAGCCGAAAACATTGCGGCAAAAATATCGCGGACGAAAACGTTGCGGAGAAAACAATGCAAGGAGAAAACTTCGTGGAAGAAAAGAAAGCAAAAAGAAAACATCGCAGTTCTAAAACATCATGGTCGAAAGTAAAGCAGTTCAAAAACGTCGCAGTTTAAAAACATCGTCGTCGAAAATATCGAGGTAAAAAATAAGATACCTACAATTCATCGCATGACGATAACATCGCACACATGCGTTTTTCAAATTTCATACTGACATATTACGTAACTGACTTTCGTCATAACTAAAAAATTACTAAAATACAAGTAAAATTATTAGTTATTACTAAAATACAACTAAAAATTGATATCCAAAAAATTGTTTGCACTCTATACATGAAAATGTTAACGACACTTTAAGAATAAACGGAAGTAAACAAGATATAGTTTTCCCTAAAACAACGTCAGATTAACAAATGTGAGAGAAAATTATTTGATTATTAACTAAGCAATTTTTATAGCGGTAACCGTATGCAGTTATTTATCATCTTTTCTCGAAGCGTTTTTAGACTGTATTTTTCATAAAAAAATTATCAGTAAAACTTTATAAAAAGGTTAATTTATTAATGACATTTGTTAATTAACTATGTAAATTTAAAATTTCAGAAGTTCTGTAAGTTGCATTAATTTTCTACTCATTTTCAAGTTTTAAATGCTTAAGTTTCCTTTTTATTTTTTCAGCAAAAATTTATTAGTTCATTCTAAAATATGAAATATAGAAGTAAAAGAATTCCTCTTTCCTTCTTGCGCTCTCAAATCATTATGCAAACAGGCGTTTACAACTATTAAAACATGAAAACGCATGTGTGCGATGTTATCGTCATACGATGATTTAGAGGTGCTTTATTTTTTACCACGATATTTTCGACGACATGTTTTTCGACGATATGTTTTTAAACTGCGAAGTTTTTGAATCGCTTTATTTTAGACTACGATATTTTGTATTACGATGTTTTAGAACTCTTTGCTTCCCTTCTCTCCCACGATGTTTTATATACCACGACGTTTTCTCCTTACGATGTTTTTTCCGCGACGTTTCCATCCGCGATGTTTTTGACGGACACTATTGTAAACATTTTAAACATTGGTCCACATATACCATCCTATTATATGTGTTGCACTTAGATTTTGTATTCTTGATTAAATTTCTGGATGTTGGGTAGATCGAAAAGCAATGAACAATAACAATTAAAAAGAAATTTTTAATAACAAATTAATGATATAAAAAGAAGTTCCAAGTAACAATTAACATAAATATTAAAATATCGTTATTTTGATTTTTCTGTTTAAACTTCTTTGTATTATTTTATATTTTATTATTTATTTTTATGCAAATTTCTTCTCAGTTATAGTTATTTAGCTCTCTTTTCACAGGCCTAACACAATAAAAGTGTATAATTGCACATCGGGTGACTTAAATCGTGTCACATGGTCGGATATCGAAAGAACAGCCTATCCTCTCATCATAAAATATCCATTACCCAACGTTATTCGTTATCCAGGAGGAAGCTTCAAATCCAGCCCTTTTATGAATACCCTTTCTGTTAAGTTGGAACACAGTTTACCAGCTTATTTTATCGACACGGTGGGTTGGATATTCGGATACAAAACCGAGTGAGTAGTCTTTTGTTTTTCCTTCAATTAATCTGGAGAAATTTAGATACAGTGCTCTAAGTTTGTGTATATGAAAGTATAAATTGTCAGTGCTTCCTCATATCCATCCTTTTTCTATAGTCTGTTTATAAATAAAACCATTTAAATAGATACTATAAACTTATTAAACAATTGTGCAGAACAACTAAGCTTCGTAAGAATAGCTCCAACATACAATCGGGCATTGTCCTGGAGCAAAATCAATATTTTTTAACCAATCGAGTATGGTTTTCCTTCATGCCCCAAGCAAATTATTTTCAAGACGTTAATATAGTAGTCACTATTCACTATCTGCTCAGAGTGTGTAATGTTGACACTTGTAACTACAGCGAATAACCTTGCAAGCTATTTTCTCTCTCTTTTCCTCCTGCCTTCGAGGTGCAATTAGAAGTGTACTAGATGCATATTCGAGAGGACCAGGGTTCGAGTGCTGGTGAGAGCATTGACCATTTTTCACGTTTCCTGCATCGATAATCCTAATGACTGTACAAATAGCGCCCGAATTAAGAAATTTGGAAGATATTTCGTCACTACCAGATTTTGGCGACTGAGCCCCCTAATCCCCAGTCACGTCGTCCTTCAGAAGGGAGAGTATATAAGGTATTTTCTATCTCCTCTCCGAATGCCTTCGTGGTGTAATTGGAAGCATACTCGATGCGTATTCGAGGGGTCCAGTGTTCGAGTCCCGATGGTAATTTTTCACATCTCCTGCATCGATAATGCAAATGACTCTACAGCCTATTGATTGTCGATGGAAGATAGTGACACCGTTTACTTTTCATAGGTTAGTATATTTACCCTACGTTCACTGGGAGAATGCCCCGCAGGGACGTAACATTCATTAGAATATTATTTACTTAGGAAATATTTAAGTGCTACAATATAGATGTTGCTGTATTTGTTGTTCCATGAGTTATATTCCATAGTTCCATGAGTATATATGCAGCGCAACACAGTTTCTCTTCGTGATGGAAGATTACATCTTTTATCTTTTTATCTTTCTTTATTAGGTATTGTATGTTATTCTTAGTTTAATATCTTCCGAGTGCTGGCGGATTGTTATTTTGAAACTTTATGCGGAGTCCTTTTCCTACTTGGCAACTTGTTAAGTAATGCTCCGATGTATCTTGCTCGTTACGTATGTAAAGTTCAGTATTTGAAGTCTTAAATTTGTAGAAATACGCCGGAACGAATGATTTGTTTGTTGTTGTGTTTGTGTATTGATTGTGGAAAGTAGATTTTCTGGTATATATTTATTTTTGGTATGTCGTGATGTGTTTGGTACCACTTTGTAGTACCAAATCATGTCTTAGCACCTTGAAATGCCTCTGTTATATACATTACAAAGCATGCTTAAATGAAGAATTTCAAATGTTTCATTACGAGTTTTCACATATTTAATACAAAATTCATTCCGAGTTTTTATTAAGTAATACGGGATGTGTTTGACTATATGGCATCAGTCCTGTATAATCAAACAGATGTCTGCCTCATCCACAAGGCAAAACGAACTAGGTAGTACCACTCGTTATGACCAAGTGCTGAAGGCCACGGCTGTCGGCCTGCAAATTTAAACTAAGCACTTGTACCTTTTTTGACCCCAAGTTCATGGCTGTCGAGCTTCAAATTCAAACCGGACGATGTAGAACCATCATTAAAACTCAGCACAGCATTGCCATATATATTATCGGAGAAGAGAAAAAGAGGCTTTTTCAAACGTTTTCAATCATCCTTAGTACTACCCTTGCAATTAGTTCACTGTATATGCTTTACCAAAATTGAGTTATTCGAGTCAGTCCCTTGTGGTTCAAATCAGTTCAGTAATTTATTGGTGTTAAAGATATTTTCTAAACTCAAGAGAATGGAGGAAAGTGCTTAAGATTGTGTTTTCTTTTTGTTCCAGGTTTGTAAGTTTGGTTCACAGAATGGAACGAGCAGCTGGATATTTACAGTACTTCACAACTAGAGAATGGACTTTCCAATGCACGAATTTAGTTCACTTGAGAGAACTTCAGTCGCGAAGGGACAAAGAGGTAATATATTTTTTAAATAGTATGCGGTTATTACCTAAAATACAACTATTAATATCTAACAAATATCAATGTGCAATATCTAACAATACAAAGAAAGGACAGGAAAATGGTTTACAAATTTATTTTTTCCTATTTATTTAATTCCAAACAAATTTGTTCTCAAATTTGAGACAGTACATTTGAATGAATGCCATGTTTTATCGTCTTTCGTTTCTGTCAACATTTTGCTTATGGAATGATTCAAGACTACAAAAAGACATAAATACTAACTCTTTAAAGCATATAGGCTTCTTATTTTTATTTTATAGATTCAAGTAACTTATAGATTTTAATGAAATAATCTTACATATTTATGTCGAAACGTTTTTCCTCTTAAAGTAATTTGAATAGAAATTTGGTGGAAAAATGTAACATGCAAATAAAACATTCTATACAAAATTTCACATTTTATTGCGCTCTTCTAAATATTGTATATGTATCATATAGAAATGCAAAGATGTGAACTAATACAAGACTCTAAGATCTCCTCTCTATACCTTATTAGGCTGTTGGCACCTCTGGTGTCATCTTCAGAGAATGCCTCATACCATGCCTTCTTCTCATGCCTTACAGAATTCACAGGTGATATTCTAGTTGAAGAGAAGAGCTACAAATAAATATGTATTATGTCAACTAATTATAAAAATTAATACAATAATACATTGGCATACACGAATTTGAAATTACGTGGCTCCTCCCAACCCTCTCATTTCGTTGAAACATTTTCCGCTTAAAGTTATGATCATATCGATGATGCACTCATCAACACTTTTACACTTCATTGATTTCAAACTCACGTGTGAAAGCTGATGTTTTACCTCCAGACACAATCAACTTGTTTCAACCGATGGACCAAGATGCTGTCAAAACAAATGGTCATTTGCGCATCTGTGAGGCAAAATAATTAGCTGTCTTATTAAAGACCTTTGGATAAAATTTATTGTTATTAAATGTCAAAAGAATTATTAAAGAAACTTGGAATAAAATTTCCTAAAGGGATCTTGAATGATGTTTGGAATAATATTTGTCAATTAACTTTCAAAAACAAGACGCAAACAACGCCAGAACTCATGTAATAGAAACGGTCATTCTTGCCAGACATCAAGGTTTTAAAGCTGATAGAGACAACGTCATTGAGCTGTTAGACTTCCATAAAAAGTTGACAATCGTTTTCTGTTAGAAGTATATGAGCAAATCCCGACTGAAAAAGCATACCTCTCAAATCCACCATAAAAGCATAAAACAAATTTAAGACTTTTAGAAGGTCTCGGTACAATTGAAAAGGGTTACAAATTTTGGAGAATAAGAATCGCATCTTGAGCTACAATGCAAGTATAGAAAAGTACATTCCTGTGCAAAATTCAGACAATTTGCACATTATGTGACTTTCTAAAATATTAATGGACAGATTTTATGAAATTTGGTCTGATAATACACTTCTAACATAGAAAGAGATATACCATTCAAAATCCGCTTTCTGTACTCGTTATTATCACTAAAGATCATAGTGCACGGATGTCCAAACTCCAAGTTGTAATATCGAACTGGAAAGGACCAAATATGGGGTTTGATTCTCTCTCACGGCTCATAAGTCGCTTAGCGTGACGGTATATTGGACAAGAAGCAGTTGAGGAGTCCCTGCAAGAAGTAGTCAATTCCACTCTGCAGAAAAGCAGTTTTTAACTCTGAGATGGTTCTTAGAGATGGATGGAGAGATAAAATTGTCCTCCCTATAGCGTCTTATCTGACGGGCCAATCTATGCGGCGAATATCCTCCCTTTCCAGGTAATCGTCGACCGACTGAGCCCTATGTGGACGAGACTTGTCGTTCATCAATAGGAACCCAAGACCAGCTGCGCCCCTCAAATTCTAACATAGGACTCTAAGATCTCCTCTCTATACATTAGAAATCAGGGAGCCTTTGTTAAACACACGCAGGGCTGTGTGGTTATCCAACATAATGCATGTTCAAACCATTACACCTCCACCACCGCAATGATTCTTTTCTTTGATATACGAGCATAATATCGTGTTCTAGGCTATCTCTGGATACAGGTACACCGAGAATCCGTGTCCAGGCTGAATCTCGACTCATCTGTAAACAGGGGCGTAGCTAGAGGGGGCAAGGGGGGCATCTGTCCCCGGGCGCAGAATCCAAGGGGCGCCAAACTGATGGTATGCCATTTTAGAATTAAATGTTTTCCATCCTTGGCAAGCAGTAGGGGCGCGAAATCTTCAGTTGTCCCTGGGCGCTGAAAACCCTAGCTACGACTCTGTCTGTAAATGCCAAGGTGCTCTACTGAAGTCTAGTCGAAGGCGCATGTTGCCTGCGGCTTGCTAAATGCGCTCTCTTGGATGCTGAAATGAGCGCGATGCAAACAGCGGGTCTCCTGGAATACAGCTCTATCTCATGAAGCCTTTGGGTAACTGTAGATAATGAAACTTAAATTTCAGTGGCAGTACATAATTCTCGTGAGAGCCATAAAGTTATAGCAGTCCTGTGTCGCCGCGTTAAAAGTGTCAAATAACGGTCCTCATTTGTCGTTGTGGATTTTGCTCGACCTTATCCAGGTCTTCTTGATATCAATCCAGTGTCCTGAAAATGTTTCTACAAATTGCAGACGACACTGGGCGTTACATTGAGCTCTGTAACCACCTGCGCTTGTAATTAGCCCTCCGACAATTCTCTATCTCACTCCTTCGTCCATACGTTCGTGGCTGCTCATTTTACCACATACCATATAAAATTTACCCAACTCTTTCGAGAAACACAACGAATATTGTGCAAGAGTATGAGCACTGAAATAGCCGAAAACACCCCGTGTGCTTATATCTACATCAGAGCCACAATTCCGTAGGTACGCATGTGTAAGCATACGTATTCGTCTCTGAATATTTGCATAATTATTCGGAGATATAATTAGTGCTTTTGGTTCAATACTTTGTAGAGATATTAGGTTTTTAGAAGCAGGAGAGATGAAAAGTGAGCAATGCTCTATACCTTATAACTTTTTGTAAAAATATGTATAATTTGTAATTCTCTTAATTTTGCACACGAGTCTATTTAGCTAACTGAAGAAGTTTTACACGATTACGAAAAGTCATTAAGTCGTCAGACGAGTTCTGGTACCGAAATATCTCCATTTTATGTAGAGCATTTATTTTATTAGTATTTTCTATTGGTATGCTGAAAAATTACATACTTTACTATATAATTTTCATCAAAACAAGTATTTTTTAGTCCTTGGTCCTACTTAACTAAAATTCAGATGTATTTATATGCAAAGTTAGACCCCGATTTACCCAGTTTCTATTGATCCCTCCTATGGCGTAACTTCAAAATATTACTGTAGGTGTCTAACGTGATTCTCAACTTTGTTTCTTCATCATTGCTTGTTATCTACTACAAATGTAAGAAACATAATTCAAAATTGTGTTTTGAAAGTGAGATAATTCACTGACTTAAAATTATTTACACTTACTCAAAATATAAATGCTTTTTAACTCTAGAAAAATCTTTTTAAATGTACATTTTAACTTTTTATCTCATATCGTACCGTCTGAATCTTCGGTGAATACTGTACAGTCTGAAAGTACTTGTAAAATTATTATTAATTACTGGAAGCACTGCATTAGCTCAGTTATTACAAAAAGCAGTTTAAAGCAGAGAAATTTTTGGTGAGGTTTATGATCCAATTTATTTTAACTAATAAGTGTGTATTGTAAAGTATTTTGTGACAGTTATAACATCTATTTCTATTCCAAAGTATGGAATATTCATGCGTCTTAAAAAATTATTCTGTTTTTAATTCTAAGGAGGATCTTTCATTCTATACATTCTAAATAGAACTTATCTAATGTTCCATTTCTTTCCTTTAGATTTTCAATATTGATGTAAGGCCTATTGAATGGACACCTTACTTAGAAAATTATGTGTTAGGAGTCAGAAAATTTATACTTGGAGAGCATGTCTCAACTATACCAGCTGCAAGGAGAAGACTTATGAGGTAATAAAATCATTTTATGCTATGCAGTAATATTACAGAAATTAATTTTTAGTAATACGCAATGAGATCACGTATTTAATTAGCAAATGATTGTAATAATTTGCACATATTCCAATGCAAATCTAATTCACAAAGAATAGGCAGAATGTTCTGCTCAAATTCTTTGCAATATAAATTTTTCATTACATGTATATGAATAAAGTGTGAAGAATATTTATTTAAAGTAATTTACGTATTTAAAGAAAACACATATATGTAAATTCCATCTTAGTTTGTAGAATTTGCTTCACAGAAATGAGCTAACTTTTGAAGAGTCTATGGGTAGAAACACATCATACACCTGTGACTGTTTAAAGAATAAAGATAATGTAGATTATCAACGATTTGATTGCACATGAAGATGAATATGGATCAAAATTATTTGCAGATGTAGAGTTCATGTCATTTGCAGAATGCCGTTCGACGCCGGCACCATATGTATAAAGAATAATTTCATTACATACCATTCGAAGAATGTAGTAATTTCATATTACCTATAAATTTTATGCATCAAAATGCAAACCCAAAAGTAACCAAAATAAGATTAAAATACATAATTTTAAGTAATTCTTGAATACAGACTTAAGTAATTTTTGAAAAATAATTTTTATATTACTAGTTTACAAGTCTTCGAATGTTTAAAATTTTATATTTTAAAATGGATTGCTTAAAATATTATTAAATTATGCGTATGTAATTTTATTCTACAATGAATATTTAATGCTAAATAATGTGTTATTGATTAAGTACATTCCATAATTTAGTATTGTAGTACGAAGGCATTCATGATATTCTGTCATTTCTTTCAGGTTATATTATGCAGGCTTGTTGGCTAAGTATGGTGTCATGTTTGGATTCATCTATGTAATACTCAAGAAAACAAATCTTTCCCAACATATCATGTGGAATTTAATAAGTTTAGCTATCAGAGTTATGCAATATATGCCGAAAAGCTGGCTTAAATATTTGAGTTCATAATCTTGCTCTGTGAATAAATTTTATGTATAAGAGTTTCCAAGGTGAAACAAAATTGCTTAATATCTAGTGGTCTTTACTGACAAGAAATTAGAAATATATTTCAAACATTCTAACTAAGTTTTTAAATTGATATTATACAGAGCTACACGGATTTTCTTCATTTAATTCAGCATAAATTGTACAGTTATAGTTAGCATCAATAAGTTAATTTTTTATTCACTGATATTCTGTAGAAAATAAGTTTAATCTACAAAACTATGAATGTTTGTAATAAATTAGTCTATAATAACACTTTCGTGAATCTCAAATATTAAAAACCAGTTCTTCATCTATAAATATGTCATAGGGAAATTCGTGTTATAATTTTCTTTTACGTAGAAGACTTGATAGCTAAAATTCTGCTTCTGAAGAAATTTTATTCAAAGTGTTTATAACTTGAATTTTTACTTTTGGGTCAAATTGTATATCTTTATGAATTTATTCAAAGTATTATAATATTTTAAAATTCTATCCCTTATATATAACTTTGTTAAATAAACATTTTTGTAAATAAAATATTTTTTATTATTTTTTGTCAATTTTTCTTCATATTCGTAATTTTGATGTGTTGCCTAAACATAGTGGTTTTGTTGTTCCAATGATAAAGCTAATTAATGAAATAACAAATGCAATACCAAAATAATTATGTTGAAAGCTATCGATGGCTTATGAAATATCCATAAATGTTCTTCTTCGCAAACCGAGATGTAACAAAGTTAGAATTATTTTTAAATGAAAAAGTTCACGGAAGATGACTGAAGGGCAATTTCGTCTGAAATCTAAAAAGTTATTACCCGGTCATCTGATCCATTGAAAAATTAAAGCACACCCGCTTATTTGAGCGCTGCTCATGCTATTTCTGAAATTATCGGGAGAATGCCTTGTTTGGCAGTCATCGTTGACTGGCCCTTGCACTGGATAACTTGAATGGTCTGCAAACGTCGACCCTATAGAACATCTTAATAAGAGGGACCAATCAGAAGTCATAGGGTGAGAAGTCTTCCAAGATAGGTGGTTGCGGCATAATAGAGATCTGTTTCCATTCTAACAAGTTTCTTAACTGACATGACTGTGTGAGTCAGATCGTTGTTATGATGCAGAATGCAGCCAGTCCTCAGCTTCTCTGGTTTTTTTTTTTTTTTTTTTTTTTTTTTTTTTTTTTTTTTTTTTTTTTTCTACTTTATGCCCAAGTACAAATTTGTACGTAATTGCCACATTAATAGGGGACTCATTTTTCAGAAATTTATGATGGACGATCCTAATGTTCTCGAAGAAAACAAGTAATATAAGCTTGATTTTCAATTTGTCAGTTTTTCTCTTTTTGGCCTCAGAAATGCTGGTGCATGACATATTCACGATATTCCTTTCGTACCCCAAACATCTTTGTTTTCAAACGCCTTTACTCAAAATGAGACATCGTACGAACGTTCAGAAGATTTGTTAACTCCGTTTCCAAAAAACAGGTCGAACTATATTGTTTCGCTCGATGTCATCTCGGTAATTTTCGCAACAAATAGCACATATTCTAGTATCACGCATTCTACTATCATTGTTCTTTAGATCAGCGATCCCCAAACTTTTCTGAATACGGGCCCCTAAACCGATAATAATTTTAATTTTTACACCATAATGAAATGTAATATAATTTCGCACTCATATGATATACGATTATACATTTGCAAGTGATCGTGGACCTACTTCTTCGGCAACAGAATGAAACTTTTTTGGAAACAGGTACGATTAGAGCGTCAAAGTAAATTGTGGCCACAAATATCAATTGAAAAAAAAAATGAAATTTAATCCGTCTCAACTGCCAAGTTTCCTGGTCATTCCGAATCCAATATTTTAGCATACTAAGCAATCATAATTCCTCCTCTTCAATATGGATATACGTTCTAAGCTACACGTGCTACGCCATCAACATTTACTACATCTATTTCGACTGATTTTATTACATATATATATAGTACATATATAGAGAGGGAGAGAAACAGCTTATGCATTTGATACAGCTATTGTGATCATTCTTCTGTCAAAGTTATCGATTTATTCTTTGCACTGTTATTATTTAGTCAGAAACTTGTCGACTTATTCGTTACACTGTTATTTTGAGTTATTAGAAATCATTATGTATAAGAATCTGGGGAAAATAATTTATTTTTTAACATTTACACCTGTAAAGTAATTCTTCAATAATTTTTGCTACGGAACCGGTGTTATTGCATTTTAGTAGTACATGCTATTTTGTTAATGTAGGGATTTTACACTAATTAACCAGTTATTTATAATTTCCGCCTTTATTATAAATTCTCTTTTCTGTATTCGTCACCAGAATGCAAATAAGTAGCCAACACCTAAACTGAAGCTTTTGGATTTTAGACAGAGCATGTTTCTAGCAACGCGTGCGCGCTACAGATTTAGTTTGCTGCTAGCTGTGATAGTTGTTATTATTTGGTTTTGTGTTTATTTGCTGCCGACACTTTGATTCCGACGCTTCGGTAGAGTAGTAAGGCAGTTTCTGGTAATATTTAATAATTGTGCAGCCCCTTGGTACTGTTCAACGTTTGATTTAAATTTCACCACTGTATTTAGTTGCATTCCCACGAGTTGTGGTTCATACAGAGGTTGTTCGCCCAGTTTTTAGACGATTTTCATTGTAATTATAAAAATATTTTACTTACATTTTTTATGTTTGAAATGCTATATTTGATAGCCTTATTCTTCATTTTCTTTATACACCGTCATTTCCAAGCCAATAAAGCCTTTTGTAGTATCGGAAGAGGTATTTTATCCCATTGCTCTCGAACAGCTTTCCAAAGTCTAAGGAGGTTGTAGATCGACGTTCGACAACCTGCTTTTTAAAAGTCCAAACGCAGAAAAACACATTGGTGATAGAATAGGATATTTAGTAGGGATATGAGTGAAACGTATGGCCTTGATACCTGTTTATTGTTCCATTTTTCTCAGGAAATTAACGGTACATTTTGACGTTAGCTGCTTGCTTTGTCTTGATGATTACACTGATTACACACTACTATTGATTGATTACACTGTGTAAAGAGAAGGTATTTCATATTTGAAAATTGGATATAAAATATGATTTCTATAACGTGGAGGTGATCTTAACATTTTTCTGCATTCTCTTTATTTTTAATAAAAAATCAGCAACAATCATAAATCCCCTTGAAAAACTTTCTTTAGATTCCTTGAACCATGTATGAGATTTGTTTTCTCTTCTTTGATGATAATAAATGGATCTCTTTTCATTGAAGTCATTTAAGTACACACAAGCATCGTCTATTGTGACAACATTTTTCCATTTTTGTCCTGATAAATGTTTCTCATAAAGAATTCTGCAGCGAGTTCTGCGTTCGGCGATATGTCGTGAAGAAAGACGAAGCACATTCTGTTTTTTCGCCTTATAAGATTCTAATCGCATTAATCACTTTGTTTACGGTTGATGCTGAGCATTTTAATGATTTTGCAATTGTCTTTTGACTTGGCGAATTTTTTTTTAACATTAAAGATCTTACTTTTGTAACATTCGAAACATTCCTTTATTTCCTTGGATACTTATTTGGAACAATTTTTCCATTTGAAGCTAAATTTTGATGTTTTTTTTTCCCCCTTTGTTGCTGACAACATTACCTATCGTAGTTTCAAATATCGAAAAATCATGGCTTTCGCAACGTTTTTCAGTAGATACGAATAATTTTATTCAGAAAGAACACAAACCAAGTCTTTTTAAAAACCACATTTTGTATGAGAACAAAAGTGTCAAGTAGCAGACGATAATTTATTAATTATCGTTCACATTATTAAATTTACATTTATTTTAATTTTTAAAATATAGTTACCGTTAAAAAAAATTCCAAGCAGAAGATTTGTTTTGTTTTTACGATAAAACAAAATCGTCTAAAACATACGCGAAAAGCCTTTGTATTGTAGCACAAGAGAGTGCCTCAGTGTTTTAACTTAATAAAAATTAAATAAAAAGGTTACGTTTATTCTTCTCACGGCTTTGTGATTTGTCACGATTTCATACATAGTAATAATTCGCTTAACATCTGTTAGGGATTTTGGACTAATTAGCATTATCAAATCAAGTGAAACCCTACTGGTTTATACCACGTATCCACGAAAATCCTTAACCGGTCTTTCGCAATCATTAGTCGTAGACATGTACTTCCATTTATAAAAAATATTCTAAATTCATCTTTGGGAATTTTTAATTTAAAGAAATCAATTTCGTAAAAATTACGAATTCTAACATTTTGCATGTTCCTCTGGTTTCGATACTTTACAAAATGTTGTATTCTTTACCAAAAAATACAGCACAAAAGCACTTTACATTAATGCAACAAAAACTGACCGAGATAATTGACGCAAAAATCAGGAATCATATTTGGAGACCGTACACAAAATATCACAAAATAATGGGGCGCATGAGTTGGTTTGGTTGGTTATGGAAAAGCACACTAGAGCTATCTGCCTAAGGAGAGAGACGCCTTCGTAGAGGACTTATAAAGGAAACGATGAAAAAGGCCATGCAGATAGCCCGTTCACCTGTAATTGAATCAGGTTAGAACTACCAGTTTTCAGCAATTTATCCGCTGTTGGGCTGAGTCGCACGAGAATTTAGTTGTTATTATTATTTGTGAATATCCGTCTTATTTCTGTAGGCGTTTCTCTTTGTTTTCAGCATAAACTAGTTCCTGTTATCAGGAATATGTTCTACTTTCAGTAATTACTGAAAATAAAATCGTGCTCTATTGCAATATTTAATCAAATATAGCAGAATTTCTTTCTTTCATTCTGTTATATTAGAAATCTCTATATTACCACATGCAAGCAAATGCTATAATATTTGCCTTTGTTTAATAATGGAGATTCGGCTCTTTGCAAGAATACATTTGCTGCATCTCTCTCTTCCTTTATTTATAAGATGTTCGGAACGAAAAAAGTTGTGAACTTGTTGGTCTCCCTCCTTTTTATGCTTATCCTTGACGTATA